CGCTGTTTCTGGTTTGCACTTTTCTCTGTGTGGATTTGTAAAAAGACAGCAGCATGCAAGATGCACTTTTGAAAATATAATGCACTTTCATCTCTCTTCTCTGGAGAGCTTTCCCCCATTGTTTGAAGAAATTCTTTTGTTTGCTGTCGCTGCAGGCTACAATCATCAACATGTTTCAATGCATATGGATAGAACTTAGGTTCACCTCACATAGTACTTGCATCAAAGTCCTTTTTATGTACTGTCTGCAGGAGGTACTATGCAGTATATGTATATTTTTAAAGCAAACATTATTCAGTTTTTACTTTGTTTGCATTTTATATATTTCTTCATTGTCCTTCAGAGCACAGTTTCTTCTTTGCTACATTTGCCATTTATAAAATTCAAAAATTGCCTATGAATCTTTTTAGATGTAGCATGGTAACACTCCTATTTTGATTATTTGGCTGCAACATGATTTGTCTCAGCCTTTTTAAATAAACTCAGCGTTTTTAGAATTTGTTTCATATACATCTTGAACAGCTAAAATACATAACATGTTTAGCATGTATTAACTATCTTTCTTAGTGCAAGTATACAGGTTTCAGAATATCTCAAACAGTAAAATGGTTTGACACTTCTGAATGAGCTGTTTGTTGCATTTCACTTAGTTGAGAAATGTACCGTGCTTTAAATTACATTTGTAGCATCCTATTTTTAGACTGACTTTGTGCAGCTTATACAATGTATTTTAAATATGGCTATTTTTCCTGGACTATTAAAAAGGGCTGCATATTGTATTCTGATCTATGGACGTTTTTAACTGAAGATAAAAATTGTAAATTTTTGAATGTACACATTTTATTATAAACTGTCTAAATTATAGCTTTGTATTTGAAGTTAGCAAGGTTCTGAACATCTGTATGTCCAACAGCTGTTTCTTCCATGTTTTATATCTATAGGTATCTTTTTTTCTGTAATTAACACAGTATTCACCGATCTTTGATTTATTAATGCCCATTCTTTTAAAGATCATTTGCTTTTGGGGGAGCGTGTCACAAAATGATTGTCCTTTTTTCCCTTACAAATTATGTAAATAGGACAGAGAAATGGCAACTCTAATATATAAACAGGTTTTATATCTTCGTGCAGTTTATCATATTGCTGTATGGTATAGAATTGCAAGCTGCCTAACAAAGTGTATACATCACTTAAACTGGTCTTGTTTTTCTCTCCCTCCACCCGTTTTGGATAGTGCAATGTCGGTAATAACTTTCTGGTCTCAGCAGTGGCCTAGGCCCTAGACGTTCCTGATTTTTAATTCCAGATCTGCCTTGCCTCAGTAAGTGTGCTTGGGCAGGTTATTTGTCCACTCTTTTCATTGCTAATGAGGATAATGTTCAGGTGCCATAGTTCATCTATGCAAAGGCACAGCTACTCCTGGTTCCCACTCTTGGAGGGCCTTGCTTTCCTGTTCTTTGTGCCAAAAATGATCAGCAGGGGGATAGTTAATCTCTCTGCAGTGTCAAGGCTGAAGGCGGGTGATGACAGGAAGGCTGAGATCGAACCTGGCTCTAATTTTTAGGCATGTCACTTGCCCTATTGTGCTCTATTTCCCAGTCTACAATCAGGGGATGATATTTAACCTTTTCTAAAGCAATAGGAAATCTTCAGCCAAAAGCTCTCCCGTGGTATACAAGTGTCAATCATGGCTCTGATGGTATTCCTATATGACCTTGAGTGAGTCATTTAACCTCACTATCTGATCTTTATCGGTTTGGGCTTGAATAGCTTTTTTCCCACAACTTTGTCAGTCCTGTTGCCACTAGAAAAAAACCACCATGAACTTTAAAACACATTTACTTTGCTAAATCGCCCCTGCAGCTAGCCTGAAAGGAGCTTCACGTGACTTGCTCTGATTTTTAGGTAGGAGTTGAAATATTATGTGAAGTTACTTCTAAGCCTCGTGATGACAATAGTTCATCCTCGGATTACAAGCCGGGGTGATGTCCTGCAAATGAACTGATGTTGAGATAATTATGGCAGAGATTTCAATATATAACCCAACAGCTGGAGTTAGTTTGTCATTTTATTTATATTCATGCCATTTGGTTCACTACACTTGTTTACAATACAAATACACTATTCAATACAAAATACTCAATGACCATATATTAGTATGTCTTTTAATATCCCTGAAGTGCATAGGCCCTTCCTGTATACATAGTGTTGCATAAGCTGCTGTACCTGTGGTAGACATTCTAATGAAGCATTGTTACAGACCAGAAAAGCTGGATGCAGATACTCTCCTTTGAGGAATATGGGGTAGGCAACACGTGATGTCTTTTATCCCTGTAAAGGATTTTTATACTACTAGTTTTTCAAGGTTTTTTTTACTAAGCTGATGGTGTCAGCTTTAGGCCAGGCTTGCAAAAATCAAACTCTTCTTAAGAGACAATAGACTAATCCTGTCATGCATTGTAGAAATGAGACCACAGAGGCTTCTATGACAACGCACCACCTTTGTCCAGACACAGAAAGGGAAGCGGGTGGTGCTACAGTTGGATGCGCCACTTGACTGGTTCATTACAGGCTGAAGCCATCACCATTTTTAAACTGAAGTCAGCTACCCGAAACAAACTGTGGGGCCTCAAGTAAACTTGCCCATGAGCTCCCGGCCAGTCCCAGCACGACATGGGGCAACCTAAACGCAGATGGAGGCCATTGCCCTGTACTTCCTGGCCCATGTCCCCCTCTCACACTGCCCTACCCCCTTCCTTTCCCTGTTGTAATTCATCTTAGAGCTGCCTGAATGTACAACTCTGATGAGGTACATAGGTCGGGGCAGGGGTAAGGCTCAGCAGGAATCATCTCATTCCCCCTTACACACACAGGTTAGCACCCACCTAGAACCTGAAATTCTACACGAAACCACTACTGCCTAGGTCTAGTCCACATGGGCTTTAACCAGTTTGTGTTACATGTCCTACAGCTATGCTGTAGTTATTTTTCCATCAGACTACGTGTCTTATAGGCTGTCGTGCTACCCACATTTCACTGTAGCATAAAGGTAGCTACATATGATATCCAAATGAAGACATTTACAATGAGATAGTATTTCCCCCCCATGTGGGCCTTGTGATTCTACTATAAACTATGTACATGAACATTTTATATAACTGTTACTCCAAGACACGCTGACTTTTAAAATATTGGTTCTGGACAAAAGTTTGTTACAAGTGTAAAATAGCTTCTAGTGTTTTAGATGGGACCCCCTGGAGACATGACATGTCAAAGTGCTCCAATCATGTGAGCTCACATGATCAGGCATTTAAAACGGAGCCTGCTTGACGCAAGCCCTCAATTTCCCCCTCTACATACAAACCTCCCCTCCCACACACACGTTCGTGGGACAAGTCTGCTTTTGTTTTTGGTATACAGCTGGAGTAACCAGTGAAAAGACTGTGGAATTATGCGAATCCTACAGCATTAGGCTTATGAACACTGAATAGCATCAGAGCCTCCAAGGGAGACTTTGGGCGGGCGGGGGGGAAATAGCTAAAATAAAAGACTTTTTAAAAAAACCCTGAAATATCCATCAATCAGTGCACGACCATGCAGACACTGAGCTGTTTTTCATCCCATTCACGTGTTCTAACTTCATCCCTCCTCCCTTGTAGTTCTATGTGGTAACAAACCAGGCTGCTCTGAAGTTGCCCTTCCCACCTGCTAGGAAAGAACTTGTTATGCATGTCTTGAGCCATTGCATTTTTAATTCCTTGTCTGAACTGATTTCTGCAGATCATTTCACAAAGCAGAGCAGTGATAATCCAAGTGAAGGAGAGCTATTACCACACCATATTGCAACCCCTTTAGACAAGACTATTATCATTAAAAATGTAAAGTGAACAGGCACTGTGCAATTCTGGGAGTGTGAAATGCTATTTTAGCCACAGAGCAAACAGGCAGCAGCAGGGAGAAGTTTCCTTTCATTACCACACTACCGGGGTTAGTGTGCAGGGATTAAAACCCTGATCCTGCAAACACATTGTCAGCGAGACTACGGAGAGGCTTACAATTAAGCAATGAGTTTAAAAGCATGAATGCAACTCTGATGGGGGGTGGGTGTATATGTGTAGCACAGGGCAGAATATGATCCACACAGTGCTAAGCTGGAGGTCATTGTCACTGGCCCATGCAGAATACTGAACTGCACAAGAAGGGGGGAGTGGGCATGCGATGAGCTGGGTTACATTTTGTATTAGAAATAAGCCACAACTACATGTTCTGAACGCCTCAATTCCAGAAGCATGTCAGTAGCTGAATTCAGACCTACCTCTGTGGTTCCATGTCTGCACTGGCTCCAAAACTACAAAAGCAGCTCATTTCTGGTCATGTTGTGGATGTGTCTGAAACTGATTATGCAAGATGATGGAAACCCCATGAGAAATGCCAACTCAGATTTCTGACATTTGGGCCAAAATCTCATGCTAAAATCTTGCTCCACACCATTCAACCTCAGCTCTAAACCTAGTCTTGATTCAACAGATCCTAAGCCCAGTGGCACGCTGAACACCACTGTCCTAGTCCAAAGCACTTTGCACAGAGACTATCAAAAGGAAGATTTCATTAGAACTATCTGAGGTTTGTGCCTCTTTGAAGATCTCATCCTACGCTACAGTCTCACCACGTATGGGAGAAGAAAATATTGTCAGCAAATCTGAATTACAATTCCTCATTTTCCACTGACCAAAACATGCTGTTCATGTGGGCCAGCTGTAAATGGTAGCAATGGTTTTAGCTCTCATTGTGAGCCTCATACATGTAAGCTGACCCCCCCCCCCACAATAAAATTATAGATGCACACCACAAGCCAGAGGCAGAAAAGCACTCAGTATGTCTCCATGCTCTCCCCCTGAATGGGGAGAAGGAAAAAAAGCTATCCAGGCATTTGTTCATCTTCCTTTGCTGATGATGTAAGGGGTCTTTTTTTTTTTTTTTTTTTTTTAAATGCTACTTTTAACAGAAGCAATTGGAAAACTAACAGGAACTGTGGAGTTGCAGGGTCAGGCAGTCCCAGGTCTGTAGCTCAATATGCTTGAAACTGACAGTCACAGTTTATTAAGATTTCAGCTATGCTCCTTTAAGACCATACAACTACACAGGCTAGGTTCTGCCCTCAGCTATACATGCTGGTAGAGCAGTAAAAACTCAGAGCGGTTTCTTGCCTTGAAAGGAGTGAGAGAAAGCAAAAAGCTTTCCCTTGGGATCTGCTTGAAAAAAATTCATTTGGACCCTTTTTGAAAAAGGAAAAGAAAGCTGAAATGTCTAAAGAAAATTTCAGTTCCACATGGATAATATTGCAGTGCAAACAGCCTTGATGGTACACAGTAAAGCTCAGTCATTGTTCTCCCATGGAACACATTGTCTTTCCTGAGACAGTAGAAGAGTTCTTCACTTCTTGTAGTAGCAAGAGTAGTGTGAATGCAACAGTGCTAAGCTAGATGGAATGGCAGCCCTGTTCCAGTGTCTGTAAGCCAGTCACTCCTCTAGTGGCTGGTCTACCGCGAGGATTAGACACCCCAATATCCTTTTAGCTCAAGTGGAAGAGGCCTCTGTATTTGCCACAGACGGTCCTGAGTTCTGGCCCCCACTACAGCCATGAAATCCATGCAGCCATGACACGCGACATACCAGTAGCAGATGAGTGAAGTCCAAAGCACCCACAGAATCATTACAGTTCACAATTCAGACCTGCTAACATAAGCCTCATTAAAAAAAAAAAAGTTTGATGCACAATTTCAACATTACGCTACTAAGACGTCAGCATTATTTACCAGAGGGGTGGGGGAAGGCAGAGCAGGGACAAGAACTTCACTTTAAAGATGGGGGTCTCAGGTCATAGTCGTCAGATTTGGATCCTTCTCTGACACCCCAAAGCCTGGAGTGTTTTGATCTGGGGCTCTGGTTTCTTTCGTTAGAGATTTTACTGCAAAGTTTGGATCCAGGACTGGATGCTGAACCACTCCCCCAAAGTTAAAGGTCTTGGATCCAGACCCATCTCTTCTATATTCCTTTGCTGCTGCTCTGATAGACCTATTTCTATGGAAATAGACACCGTGTATTTTAGACAGCACTGCTGCTTCAGCAGCCCCAGCGGAATATATTGTAAATTATTAATGTACATCTGAATTCAATTCTTATGTGTATATTGTAACAACACACGTTTCATGCACAAGGTGTACGGAATGCAGCAGTGCAGCTTTGGGTTTTTAACGGACTAGCATACAAGAATTCTGTTAAAGGAACGAGGGTAATGAACCCTTGAAATGCAGACACTGCCTAGAATCAGATGGGGGTACAAAGTCAAGCCTTCTGGTTGGAGTTGTTAGTAAAGGGCATTTCAGACCTTTGTATTTCCATCTACTGGTGACTTCTCACTGTAAAGGCCTTTTAACGTCTCTCTCACACAAGACTGGCCCTGTAAAATTCCACCTGAATTCCACTGAACAACAAGAAGTTCCTGTAGAACCCGGTGTTTCCTTTCTGTAGCACAGAAAGAATTTTAAAGGGCCAGTACCGTCCTTGGCTTTGGGTCTGAAAAAAATATAAATCCTCCTCCTTGTGCACTTCATTCTCTTCCTCTGCAGTTAGTTAACTTCCCATCTTACTCACAAACCAGACAGTGTGACTGGCATCTTTCCATTGCCCTGCCAATGATACTGTAATTACTGCATATTCAAGGGCTGGTGCAGACTATGTTACAGCAGTAATGCAACTTGGGAATGTTCCCTGGTGTCTTCATTCAAAGATGTTTTATCCTTTTTGTTTTGAATAAATGGTTCTTTCCCAAGCCACCTCAAACCTCTGCCATCCATAGGGGATTTCAAGTGTCCCATTCCACAGCAACCAGCAGCTTGGCAAGGAAAACCCCAAACATGAAATACTCAGGCAGTGAAACCGGACCTTACATTTAAGCGGAGCATACACAATTGAGAAGAAGCGCACAGGGAAGGGCACGACACAACAATGACCATGCATATATGTTTATGCAACCGAAAGCTGGGCCTTGCAGTTAACGTTAATATCCCCCCTTTCTCGTAGTAGTAGTAGCAGAGGCTCCGATGAGTTGAAGCTTCTTGGGTTATCTGAAAACACGGCTTCAAAGGGTGGCACTTTAGAGCTAGTTGGCACATAATGAAAGTTAGCGTTGTCTGCTCTCTCTTGGATGACAAGGACGATACTCTCCAAGCTCAAGAGCCACACAGAATGAGAGTCAAGAGTGCAGAGGGCTCTCAAGGCCCCTGATGGGCTACGTGGCTCTTGTTTCTAAGGCCAGAGTCCTCATAATTGCTAGCGCAAGGTGGGGCAGAGGCTTCCAGGGGTAAGCCCTGCTGTTGGTATCCATAGTTGACGTTCCCACAGGGGAAGTGGCGGAGCCTAAAGAGAGGCACTTCTTTCACACTGGCTGTTAGTGAAGATGGTTCTAAGAGCAGAGAGGAGCCTGGCAGCCTGCTAGTCACACCACCAGGCCCCACAGTACAGTTTCCTTCGTGCCCCAAATTCTCCCTCTCGGACACCTCTTTCTCCAGCAGAGAATTGTTTTTGATGACAGGCTTCTCTGCAAACCAGGAGCCATATGTTGGATTCCAGAGATTGGTGGGCTTATTTCTGGACCCCCTGCCTTTCTGAAGGTCAGAAGCCGGGGTGGACTGCGCATAGGCCATGTTGATGTGTCCCGCTTCTAGGGCTGGTCGCACATTAACAGGGACCAGAGGCTCGGGGGCTGCCACTTTTGCCAAAGGTTTTCCAGCTGTGATGGCTGAAGGCAGAGGGGGTGGAGAAGGCAGGGCCTGCTTGTCACCGTCTCTCTTTTGGTGTGGGGAGATCACCAGAGGAGGGATTGCTTTGGGGTCTTCTGGGCGCATTGGAACCTTCTCCTCCTCCTCAATGGATGGGCCATATTCCACAGGTAAAGCGGTGGTGATGACATCAGGATCCTAGAGGGGAGAACAATGAGATTCTTTCAAACTCTTGCCACTGCTGATATTCAGGCATTGTTGCCAATTGCCTCCTGTTTATAATAATTGTCCTGTAGCCAAAGAGCATCTTTTGCCACAGAGGAGCCCAAACTTTATAAAAGGAATCTCAGGGAAATGCAACTACCACTGGGGTAGAACGTGACAGCTTTTTTACCAGCACAGAGAAACACAGCACGTTACTTTAATTTAGTGAAGAATTCCCATGTGCAACTGAAACTGCAGGGAGAAAGTTGGGATGATACAGATTGGAACACAGAGTTCATAACATTCTTTTTTAGTCCAGAAGCAGTTACAGCTGTGAAAATATAGCAGCAATGTGGTGCAGGGTGGAGACTCAGGCATGCAGGGTAACATTTTCAAAAGCACCTAAGCCATTTAGGAGCATAAGCCTTAGGAGTCGGGCGCCTAAGTAATTTCGGCGTTTCAATGGGACTTAGGCACTTTTGAAAATGTTACCCAGAAAGTTGTAAAAGTGTGGGAAGCTGGTCAACTGCTTACTAGTAATAGACAACCAAAAAACCAAACACAAAACCTGGAGTTAACATCTCCACTTGAGGATCTAAAAGCACCTATCAAAAATTAATGGATTAAACCTCACAATGTTCCCTCTAATTTTTCCCATCCATGTGCAGAATGAATTTTGTTATGTGCGCCAATATGAAGGTGATGTGTGGCGGGGATGGGGCCAAGGGGTTCGCAGTGTGGGAGGGGGCTCAGTGCTGGGGCAGAGGGATGGAGTACAGGGGGGGGTGAGGGTTCCAGCTGGGGGTGCGGGCTCTGGGGTGGGGCTGGGGGGGATGAAGGATTCAGGGCGCGGGAGGGGGCTCCAGGCTGGGGCAGGGGGTTAGAGTTTGGGAGGGGGTAAGGGTTCCGGCTGGGGGAGGGAGGCATCTCCCCGCCGCAGCCCCGGAGTTGGGAGGGAGAGGCGTCTTGGGCCGGGGGAGAGGCGTCTCTCCCCGCCGCAGCCCCGGAGTTGGGAGGGAGAGGCGTCTCTCCCCGCCATAGCCCCGGAGTTGGGAGGGAGAGACGTCTCGGGCCGCTGCAGCCCTGGGGCTGGGGGGCAGAGATGTCTCTACTTGCCGTGCCACAGCACTGGGGGAGTCGCCACAGCCCCGCATGCCCCAAGCTTCCCTATCACCACCTCCCACCTCACCCCACTGCCCCCACCTACCCCCTAGTCCTCACCTCACCGCCCCCCACCTACCCCCAGTCCACATCTCACCTCACTGCCCCCACCTACTCCCTAGTCCCCACCTCACCCCACTGCCATCTTTCAGGCCCACCTGTGTGGAGTGTGCATGCCTGTGCGGCTCTGCCAATTAAGTGTGCAGCCTTTGATGGCCTCTTGCACGGCTGCGCACCTTAGAGGGAACATAGCTCACAATACCCCAGTGGGTGGATCAGTACCAGACCTATTTTACACATGGGGAAACTGAAGCTCGGAGTGGTGAAATGACGTGCTGTCTGGCCTGTGCAGGTCTGTGCCAAAGCTTGCAAGCCAACAGTTTGCTTCATTTGCGAGACCACTAGACTAGAAGAGCTGGGTTAATGAGCTGTGTACTAAAAAGGGAAATCAGGTTCAGGCCAGGAGACCCAACCCAATCCCTCTGCCTGACCTAAGAGCTCCTAGCTCTTACAGTACTGCAGTCCCCAATTGTCTTCTCTGAACTGGCCAGGTCCGAGGCCCTAAAACGCATGAGGCTAGAGATGGGCCCAAGGTAAGAAATGTAATCTGATTCTAGATCCAGACTGCCCCAGAGTTCATCACTGCATCCAGTGTTCCAGTTCAGATCCAGCTTGGCTCTAACCAAGAAATTTCAGTCTGGATCCAAACCTTTCCACAATTCAAGGGGTCTACTGGAACTGGTGCCCTGGGTCAGATCCATCCCTGCTCAGTACTGGTCAATATCTTAAGAATTAAAATGTGCAAAGTGGCTGTTATCTGGCAATCCCCTTGCAGCACAGCTAGGGAAGAAAGGAGTGCAAGTGCTGGAGTGCAACCTGGTGGACTGGCTCAGGCCTTTGGCTTGCTGGGGAACTGTACCTTGATGTAGAAACAGCAATCATAGAGTTGCTATACCTGTGTACGGCCTCTCCTCTGTGGGGTGTGTGCATGGGCAGTGAGGAGCACCCTCTCTTTGCCCTTCAGAAACACATGCTTCCATCTCACTGCCCAGAGAAGATCCATCACCTCAGTTTACTACATGACTGATTTCAGGCTAACACAACATATGTGTTTGGAGCTCACTGCAGTAGTGCAGTACTGCCCCCTGGGTGTCTTACGCTGAAAGATGAAAGAACGAATACCTGGGTGCAGTATTCAATCCTCTCCAGTATTATGGCAAAGTTTGGCCTGTCTTCAGGCTGGTGCTGCCAGCACTGGGTCATTATACGATACCTGCAACAGGAGCAGGAGAGAAAATCATGAAAAGCAGGAAGGCAAAAGGAAGATGCGTTTGGTAGTTAATGGACTTCAGTTCACCATGGTCCATCAGTACCCACCAGCCCACCAAGTGTTCATTGTCACCTTCCACGATCAGTGAAAAAGTCCATCCTGCTGTAGGTTCAAGTGTAGGGTCCTATACCACTCTCCATCTGCATGCAGATAGTGCACCTCAAGGGCCAAATATACCCTTAAATGCTGCTGTTAGGAACATGTTGTGAAATTGACACCACTGGTGAAAAAAATCAGGCCTTTGCTACATATGGGGAAGGCCTAACAAAGTGGCTATTTCCATCCAATCCCCTCCTCACTTCCCACACACTCGAAACATTATGTCTGGTATTGGGGGGAAGTCACCTCTACGGGAGGGAAGCTGCTCCAACTCCCACTTAGAAATCAAACTGATAAGAATGGGGGGTATGGATTCAAAGAACTGGGTTGGGAATTCCCACACAGATGTCTTGCCAGGAGTCTCTTCTACCATACATCCTTTGAAAATATTCCTTCCAAACCATGATGTTCCTTTTCTACACAGACTTAGGTGGGCCATTCAGCTGAAGACAGGATGTTACCCGATGTTGTCATACACTGCCCTTGGTGGCTGCTCAGGGAAGTATCGCCTTGAGAAACTAAATGGGAAGCCTCTGCACTGCAAGAGATCTAGTGATAATTGTGTGCTACCTTTATTCCAAAGGGTCCCAACACTATTGAACTGATTTTCAAAGGCACTGAACCCCTACAGCATATTTGAAAATCAGGCCGTCCAGGTAGACGGACTGCTTCACCTGGCACCTGTGGGGTGGAATCCAGCGACACTTCAGAAAAATGACCTAGCCCCAATTGAAACCACACAGGCAATTTACTGTAGGCAGGTTAGAACCTAATTAACTGAGCCAAGGCTTTGCTACTTGTGAGCAACACCAGGGATCTTTAATGGCCACAGGTGGTCAGAACTTGCAGTTTTACATCTAATCCGAAGGACAGAGCTATTGACCGATATTTTTTAACACACTAGCCAATGGTCCATACTTCCCAAGAAGGTACCGACTATTAACCTAAAAGGGCTGACAGATAACATTACCAGTAGGGAAAAAGTCTCTGGAACTTGAGTTAATTAAGGAAGGTCATTAAATATATGGTAATAACGCTAATAATCTTCTGGCCAGAGCAGAGTGTTCATGCACAAAATGAGTTAGTCTCATACACAGGGCCAGGGCAGTTTTTGGGTGGATCCATCCTTCCTCCGTTTGTTACGAACTCCAGAACCTCCTGGTTACTTTTGCTAGGATAAGGCATATATCCAAGAGAGAATATCTCCCACAGCAACACACCAAAGGACCTGGACACAGAACAGAAGGAAAGAAGGTCAAGGACACAGGCACAAAATAGTATTGCAATTCAATAGCTATGCACTTAGAGCCATTAAAACCAGTATTTGCTTTGTGCACCCTACAGTCAATCAACCTGCGGAACTCTCAGCTGCAGGAGAACACTAAGACAAAGTGGCTGATGTAAAAGAAGGGCTGGATGACTTTATGGGCATCAGTAACAACCGTTGTTAAGCAAGCCAAGACTGTGATGTGGGTAATTAAATGTCATGCTTCAGAGTACAACTACACTGTTTGCCCAGCAGGGTCAGGAAATAATCATATATACTTGGTGTCTAGCATGTTATAATTGGATACAACAGGTGTATTATTGTGAGAGGACTTGCCTTCTTTTGAGGCATTGGGTTTAGCCCGCCAGAGCCAGGACTGTGGTTTGATCCTTTATGGCAAATCCTGTCTTCCTGAATAAACAACAATGCACTTTGCTCTTGTACAGAGGATACAAGTGACCCCTAGCTGAAGAGTCCTAGCCCCATATGTTTCAGGGAATTAAAATTAGAACATTCCCTGGGTTACATCACAAGCTTTGGCCTCTGTGGCTGGGCATGTAACACTCTGAAGATTGAAAATACAACCTCCTCAGCATTCATTTGACTGGCAGCTTGGAAAACGCCAACATTTTATGGGTTAAACACTGCAGTGCGGTTGGGAACAGAATAAAACAGGCCAATGATCACCACTTTGGTGCTGATGGACAGCAAACAACGCTACTGTGTCCTTGGGAGGATTTAACTTGCTCCATCAGCTGTGAAACAGGCTCTATACTCTCACTCCACACCCTGGAAAGGCAGCTGGTGAACATTAGTACTGGTGGCTTCACAGTCTCCTCCTCTCCCCAAACACTCTCCTGCACTCCTGGCTTCCTGACCCAGCGTCGCCTGAGCAATTCTTTCCCAATCAGCAGTGCCCCTGCTCTGTCAACACTGGCCCTCTGCTTCCTGACACTAGGGACCACCAGCCACAGCAGAGTGAGCAGGGCCAGGCTCAGACACACAGGGCAAGTGACTGCTCAAGACCCTGCCCTTTTGGGGGTATCCACAGCCCTTCACTGACTCGGCAATTTACATGCCAGCCCAATCCCTCCCACCCTCCCCTGGCACCACACGGCTTCCTGTGCTGCATTGGGCCAAGAGGAGGTGGCAATTTAGGGCATTTACACTTGCTCCTCTGACACTGGCTGTGTCTGACCCTGCCGCTGAAAGATGGTTTGCTCCTACAAAGAGACTAGACTCCTTTCAATAGCGTACAACGGACACCTTCCTTCCTAGATCACCTGTTCGTAACCAATACAGCATCTAAGCCAGATCCATTGCTCCCAGGAGAGAGCCTTCACTTTGCAAGGCTCTGGCTATTCGCTCCCTCATCCCCTCCACTAGATCCCTTGCTTTCAAAGCTCCAGCTCTTCTTTTTGGGAGGGGGAAGGACGGGAACGTGTTCCTTTCACAAGGGGAAGTAGATAGTGAGTCATTTGTAAAAACAGATCAAGAAAAAAGAAGCCCACCATGTATCAGTTTTTGATGTAAATATTCCTTCCATAAAGGCCTCAGGTGGCATCCATTTGACTGGCAGCATGGCACACCCGCCCTTTCGATAATAGCTGGCCCTGCAGAGGAAAAACAAAGTGAGCAGTCGGCCCAGGATTCAGAAAGAAAGTGGCATTAATATAGTACTTTTCTAATTAAAGGATTACAGTGACCAGCCTGGGGGCTGGCTCATTTAGTAAAGAGCTTAAATCGGGGCTTTTCTTATAGACAAAGCAGCATGGCAGAGATTATACTGACAAGATCTTTTTCTATTCATAGAAACAGTGGGAACAGGCATTTAATGTAGGGACAGTTCTGTACTTTCCCTCGCTTTGTGCCTGATCCCACAACCTGTGAGTAATCCTGTGGATAGTCCCACTGAAATCACTGGAATTACTCACATGAGTAAGAGTCTCAGAGTAAAACCTTCCTCCTTGGAAAGCTTTTTCACTGTAGCAGGAAAGACATTTCACAGCATTGATACCCACATCCAGTTAAGCACCCCCCTCAAAAATAACAAACAGATCAACCCAACCACCAGAAAACAACTCTGCTAGGTCAGGTTGGCAGAGACCCTGGGGTTTTTCACCTTCCTCCGCAGCATGGGGCCTGGGTCACTTGCAGGTTTAAACTAGCCTAAATGGTGGATTCTCTGTAACTTGAAGTCTTTAAACTATGATTTGAGGACATCAGTAACTCAGGCAGTGGTTGGGGTCTATTACAGGAGTGGGTGGGCGAGGTTCTGTGGCCTGCGATGTGCAGGAGGTCAGACCATGATGGTCCTTTCTGGCCTTAAAGTTTATGAGTCTATGAGAATACCCCAGGCAGCATGGTAAGGGAGAAAAGCCAGAGTTCACATGAAGTCCACTAGGGATTTTGAATTTTATGTAGATGGTACCCAGACACTGGGGTGATGGCTGCCAGCATAAAACCCTAACAATCTTAGCTAGATATCAGGCCCTTTGTGTCAATATCATTTAAAATGAAATCCATCAAGCTCAAACCTTTGTACTGGCAGGCACAGATGGGAGCTTGTGCATGCAAGCTAGAGGTGTGCACACAAAGTGACGTGCATGGAAAAGTGTGTAAATTTCATAGGCTCCTTTGAAAAGGAGTAAAGGGTACTAGCAGTTAGTTGTGCCAAGTGTGCTGTTTTGCCATATCAGAGTCCTCTTGTATTGCAGGGCTTCATGGTAGTAGGGTCTTGCCTTGTTTGGTAATAGAAACCAAACAGCTCAGCTGCACTCACATCCCTAAGGGAGTGCTACAGTCACATCACCTCAGGCTGTGATCTTCCTAGAACTCAAGCTAAGTAGGGTCAGGCCTGCTCCGTACTTGCATGGGTGACCTCAACAGAAAAAACCCAAGGTACCAACACAATTTCTTACAGTGATTCAGTAAGTGGCTTTCTTTCCACTGAGCCAGGAGTGAACCAGTTCTCCAGCACAGTGTTAGGGGGCACTATGCTGCTGAAGGTGCTGGGTTGCAGATGAGCTGTAAACTGAGGTCCTGACCACTTGTGATCATTAAAGATTTCCTGGCACTTCTTGGAAGTACAGCGTCATTAACCGTAGTGGCCTGGCTAAATTCCAGTTTGGGTAATTACAGTCTCCTGATCTTTCCTCCTTTACATGCAGTCAATTGAGGAGATTTACTTATGACAAAAAATGGAAGGGAACAGGGTCAATAGCAAGGAGGAGGGAGATTAAACTCAAAGTGATTTGGAGCCACAGAACAAAAGGGCACATCAATGACTTATGCCACTTAGGCCTGGTCTACACTAGGCGTTTATGTCGAATTTAGCGCCGTTACATCGAATTAACCCTGCACCCATCCAAACCACGAAGCTATTTAGTTCGACATAGAGCTCTATTAAATTCGACTTCTGTACTCCTCCCCAACGAGAGCGGTAGCGCTAAATTCGAAATGGCCATATCGAATTAGGCTAGGTGTGGATGGAAATCGACGCTAATAGCTCCGGGAGCTATCCCACAGTGCACCACTCTGTTGACGCTCTGGACAGCAGTCCGAGCTCGGATGCTCTGACCAGCCACACAGGAAAAGCCCCGGGAAAATCTGAATTCCTTTTCCTGTCTGGGCAGTTTGAATCGCATTTCCTGTTTGGACATCGTGGCGAGCTCAGCAGCACTGGCAACGATGCAGAGCTCTCCAGCAGAGGTGACCGTGCAATCCCAGAATAGAAAGAGGGCCCCAGCATGGACTGATCGGGAAGTCTTGGATCTGATCGCTGTGTGGGGCGATGAGTCCGTGCTTTCCGAGCTGCGCTCCAAAAGACGGAATGCAAAGATCTACGAGAAGATCTCTAAAGCCATGGCAGAGAGAGGATACAGCCGGGATGCAACGCAGTGCCGCGTGAAAATCAAGGAGCTGAGACAAGGCTACCAAAAAACCAAAGAGGCAAACCGACGCTCCGGATCCCAGCCCCACACATCCCGTTTCTACGAGGCACTGCATTCCATCCTAGGTGCGGCCGCCACCAGTACCCCACCCGTGACCGTGGACTCTGAGGATGGGATATTGTCCGCGGCCGGTTCCTCGGACATGTTAGCGGACGGGGAAGATGAGGAAGGAGATGAGGAGGACGAGGCAGTCGACAGCGCTTGCACCGCTGATTTCCCCGACAGCCAGGAGCTCTTCATCACCCTTACCGAGATCCCCTACCAACCGTCCCCAGCCGTTACCCCGGACACAGAATCAGGGGAAGGATCAAGCAGTAAGTGTTTTAAACATCTAAACATTTATTTTTAACAGAACTGGAATATTTATAATATTAACAATGGGTTTTTCATGATTTCTTTGCCCTAGGCGCTTAACTATTTAGTCCCAACTATTTAAAAAAAATCTAACAATGTCCGGTTTTTCATGATTCTGCTGCCCAAGACGCTCCACTCTTTAGTCCCTGCCAGTGCAGCTACACCAAAATCCGGTCTATATGTCTGGGGATAGAGATGAAATCCTCATGGGAGATCTCAACGAAGCTCTCCTGGAGGTAATGTTCAAGCCTGTTCATCAGGTTCCTGGGGAGAGCGACCTTATTGGGTCCTCCGTGGTACGAAACGTTTCCGCGCCAGGAGACAATCAAGTACTCATGGATCATTGCCCTGCAGAGCATGGCGGCATACGGCCCTGGTTTTTGCAGGCTTTCCCAAAGCATCCGTTCCTTTTCGCTGTCCGAGATCCTCATCAGGGTGATGTCGCTCATGATGCCCTGCTTTGAATTAGGTAGGGGAATGTTAGTATTGGGACTGCTTTACAGCCACGCGGTGGAGGCGGGAGAGGGGCAGCATACAGGGATCTTTCTCTGGGACAGCCGCGAGGGGGTGTGACAGGGGCAGAGTTGATGCTTGCCGGATTGCTGGCAGCAGAGACTGGCATTGCTTTCAATGTGAAAGGAGGCCAGTGCTACTATTACAGTTTTCAGCAGCCACAAGTCTACGGCTTACCATGTTTGCCCGCTACACAAATTCCGGTGTCCCGCCCCGCTTCTCAGATCGCCACTGCAAGACCACAGGCACTGAAGGCGAGGGCCGGAAATTTGACCTTGTCCTGAGTGCGCATGTGATAGGTGCAGTGCATGGTCTTGTTCACAGAGAAAGACTATGTTCTTTGTTCACAACTACATTTATCTTTCTGAGGAATTCACTCCCTTTTTCCCATTCCCACAGCCACATCTGCGACTGTCTCCCAACCCAGCCTGGCATCACACTCCCAGAGGCTAGCGCAGATTAGGCGGAGAAAGAAGACGACGCGGGAGGACATGTTCTCAGAACTAATGTGCTGCTCCCGAGCCCAGGCAGCCCAGCAGACACAGTGGAGGGAGAACTTGTCCCAAATGCACAGAGCAAACATGGAACGGGAGGAGAGGTGGCGTCAGGAAGACCAGCAGGCGACTCAAACACTGCTTGGACTGATGAGGGAGCAAACGGACACGCTCCGGCGCCTTGTGGATGTTCTGCAGGACCGGAGGCAGGAGGAGAGAGCCCCGCTGCAGTGCATCTGTAACCACCCTCCCCCGCCACCAAGTCCCATACCCCCCTCACCCAAAGTCCAAAGAAGGAGGGGCGGCAGGGGCTGTGAAAAGTTTCACTCCACCCCTGCAGAGTGCTCTAGCAGTAGAAGGCTCTCATTCCCCAAAATTTGAAAAGTCCTTTCCTACCCACCTCACACAAGCCCCCGTCCAAGTTTCACTCCCCCGTTTCATGTGTAGTTACTAATAAAATATACGTTTCTGTTAATTACTGTTTCCATCATTTTCTTTTGGAGGAGAGTCTGTGTGAAGGGGGGGAAGGTCGTTGGTAATTGGACAGGACAGTCACCTTTAGCAGGGTACAGAGGCGGGGGCAGGTCCAGCAGCAGGGCACATACACAGTGCAGTTACTAGTTACCCTGGTCAGTCTGGGAGGTGGTTTTCATGTTCTGTGTGTGTGTGGGGGGGTTGCTCTGTGACTTTGTGGTGGGGGAGGGCAGTTACAGATCTTATGCAGCGGTCCTTATCCTGGATCACAGAGCCACGCAGCAGGGGATCTGTAACCCTCCTCCCCCTGCCAGAAAGTCACATAGCCGACACATACACGCAGTCCCGCCCAGGACGGCTGGCAGGCTCCGTTGAAACAACCAGTCCACCACTGCGGAGCCTGTCATTCCTGGAGTTTAGAGGCATCATTTGCATCACTACACTACACCCGCCCCCCACCACAGTCTGCGTCCCAGGTTTAAAACATTCCCGCGAAAACAGTAATAAAGACAACGGTGTTCAGTAAGAAAATAGAACTGATTTTATTTTTTGGGAAGGGGGTGAAGGGGGTATGTAGCTGGAGAGGATAGTCAACATAAACTGGGTAAAGAAACGGGGGCAGGTTCAACTTCTCTTTAAACAAAGTTAATAGTCACAGGTTACCCTGCTCACTGAGGAACCTAGCTTTCAAAGCCTCCCGGATGCACAGCGCGTCCCGCTGGGCTCTTCTAATCGCCCGGCTGTCTGGCTGGGCGTAATCAGCAGCCAGGCTATTTGCCTCAACCTCCCACCCCGCCATAAAGGTCTCCCCCTTGCTCTCACAGAGATTGTGGAGCACACAGCAAGCTGATATAACAATGGGGATATTGGTTTCGCTGAGATCACAGCGAGTCAGTAAGCTTCTCCATCTCCCCTTGAGACGGCCAAAAGCACACTCCACCACCATTCTGCACTTGCTCAGCCGGTAGTTGAAGAGTTCTTTTTCAGTGTCCAGGGCGCCAGTATAGGGCTTCATGAGCCAGGGCATTAGCGGGTAGGCTGGGTCCCCGAGGATCACTGTAGGCATCTCCACATCCCCAAGAGTTATTTTGTGGTCCGGGAAGTAAATACCTTCCTGCAGCCGTCTAAACAGACCTGAGTTCCTGAACACGCGAGCGTCATGAACCTTGCCCGGCCATCCGACGTTGATGTTGGTAAAACGTCCCCTATGGTCCACCAGTGCTTGCAGCACCATAGAAAAGTAGCCCTTTCAGTTGATGTACTGGCTGGCCTGGTGGTCCGGTCCCAGGATAGGGATGTGAGTTCCATCTATAGCCCCACCGCACTTTGGGAATCCCATCGCGGCGAAGCCATCTATGATGACCTGCGCGTTTCCCAAGGTCACTACCTTTGAGAGCAGTACCTTAACGATTGCGTTGGCTACTTGCATCACAACAACCCCCACGGTAGATTTGCCCACGCCAAAGTGGTTCGCGACTGACCGGTAGCTGTCCGGCGTTGCAAGCTTCCAGAGGGCTATGGCCACTCGCTTCTGGACAGTCAGGGCTGCTCGCATCCGGGTGTCATTGCGCTTCAGGGCAGGGGACAGCAACTCACAAAGTTCCAGGAAAGTCCCCTTCCGCATGCGAAAGTTTCGCAGCCACTGGGATTCATCCCAGACCTGCAGCACTATGCGGTCCCACCAGTCCGTGCTTGTTTCCCGGGCTCAGAATCGCCGTTCCACAACATCCACATGACCCATTGCCACCGTGATGTCCTCGGCACTGGGTCTCGTGGTTTCTGACAGGTCTGTGCTACTCTCAGACTTCAGATCCTCACCCCACTGCCGTAGCCTCCTCGCTGATTTCTCTGTATCTGCCTCTGGGAAAGGTGGATGATAAGCTGCGAGGCGTTGACAACGGACACAACTGCAGCGATGGTCGCAGCGGGCTCCATGCTCGCAGTGCTGTGGCGTCCGCACTGTCACTGACCAGAAAAGTGCGCGAACTGATTTCCCGCCGGCGCTTTCAGGGAGGGAGGGCGGGAGTGACGGACGGATGACGACAGTTACCCAAAAGCACCCTCGACACATTTTTTTTACCCAGAAGGCATTGGCGGCTCGACCCAGAATTCCAATGGGCAGCGGGGACTGCGGGAACTGTGGGATAGCTGCCCACAGTGCACCGCTTCCAATGTCGACGCTTGCCCCGTTAGTGTGGACTCACAAAGTCGAATTACTGTCCTTAGTGTGGACACACACGTTCGACTTTGCAATATCGATTCCACATATTCGATTTAAGTGAAATCGAACTACCCTCGTAGTGTAGACATACCCTTAGTGCTGAGAAAATGGAAGGAAAACAATTAGGGATGGAATCCAAGAGAAGGGGAAAATGTTCTCTGGCCATATGGAAAACTCTTCCCAGGAGAAGGCTCTGAGGAAGCAGTGAGCAGCCTGTCAATCCACAGCTTGAAAGCAAACAATAGCATCAGAAAGGGAGTCATATGGGAAGGATTTCAGAAATATCCCTTTTCTGGGGTTAAACAGAGCAGCACATGATGACACTTAACCAGGCACATAATCCCCCGTTCTGGTAAATTTCTGCTTAGTGATGCCATAGACTGAGTTCTATTACCTGTATATGTCCCGGGCCATTCCAAAGTCTCCAATTTTAGCTACTCTTCCAGGCCCTTGACAAGTAAGGAGACAGTTCCTGGCAGCAATGTCCCTGAGAAAGAAAGAAGGAATGCAGCAGAAAGAGCGGGAGAGAGAAAAGAAAAAATCATTTAACCTTTCAACAGTTTTGCAAAAGCCAAAGGAAATGACAAGAAAACATGTCCTGCTTTCCTGAGGGGCTGAGACCCCTCAAATCCCAGTGAAGTCAATATCTGCAGATAACAAGCTATGTCCCATTGTTTTAGTAGAAATCTTTTGAATTTAAACATTCCATTTGCTATTTGTAATAATTCTTTAATGCCTTTTATCGTCACACATGGATTACTCAGTATGGCAGGAGCCTCCTGCCAACACCCCTCCTTGCAAGTGTTGTTGGGACTCTAGAAAGTTGGCAGTAAAAGATCTGAGTTGGACAACCCACCTCTTCCAACAACACACAGTCCCATCATGACTACTGCCCCTAGACCTAGTACAGCTTTGTCGTGTAGTCACATCTATGCCAGAGGCAGGCAGAATAGTCAGTGCTACAAGGAAAATGCTCAAACCTGGATTTCAGAAACTAGACAGACACCTGAACCAAACCCTAAATCCATATCCTTGCCTTGAACTCTCTCACCCATCTCTAATGGGCTGCACTAAAACCCTGGGTCTGGGCATAGATCCCTTGTGGCTTGGTCCCATCTCTACTAGAATGAAAACCAGGAGCACAACCCTGGCAAAATCACCTCAGAGAAGTGAACTAAAAAATGGCAGCTATAAGTTTGTGGCTCCCCTGCAAAGTCATGCAACTCTGCTCCACGTGGCTGCTGAGCTTTTCCAGGGACTGTTCAGGACTGTGGGGAGAGATAAGGGATAGACAATGGGAAAGCACTGATGGTTAGCACCTCAGACTCTGCAGCCAGAAGGACCACAAATGTGGCTATTCTTAAGAAGGCTGGATGCTACAAAACTCTCAAATTATTTCCTTAAAACTAGAACTATTGAGGATATTGAAAAGGTCTGAAGAATGTGGACTAGATCTGCATTATTTTTATGAATATTTTGTGTATCTCTATATGTTTGAGTATTGTGGTGGGGCCAGGGCCGGCTCTAGGTTTTTTGCCGCCCCCTGCCCCAGCCCTGGGCTCTCCCCCCCACCCGCACCCCCTGCTGCCCCAGCACTGGGCTCTCCCCGCCCACCCCACCTGCACCCTCTGCCGCCCCAACTCTGGGAGTGGAGAGAGTATTGCTGACAAACCACATGTCTGAGGCATGGATAGGAACAACCCCAACTGAAAAGGTGAGTGGCTCTCTAGCCTTGCTTGACTTTGTGGATAGAATCAGGCCTATCTCAAAAATCTTACACAGTGGGAGCAGTCAGGCATATGGTGCCATTTTTCATTCCAGGTCTGAACAGTACCACGCTTTAACCTGTGTGTGTATCCAGAGCCAGGGTGAGAACAGCAAGGAAGACCAGATTGCAGGAATGAACAGAAGGGCAATAATCAAAGCTTGCTGGAGGGAAGGCCTACAACCTACTGTAACAAATTCCTGGTTGCTTTTGTATAGATGACAAATAAACTGCATGCATGTTGTGGCCCTGGGGATAGAGCTCAGGTTCTTTGGCACCATGAATACAAGCCTTCCTCACTTGAGATAAAGTAGACTCCCTGTGAATAATTACTATTAGTCAGGCTTTTGGCTCTTATCTTCTAAAAACATCCAACCTCTAGAGGGCAGTGGTACACAAACATATTCACCACAGCATTACTCGTACATGCTGGCCAATATATTACAATACAATACACACCCACACATACAAAGGGCAACAGTAAATAGTCCTTAATAGCAAATGGTCTTACTTACCTGTGAATGAAGTGGTTTTCTTCCAAATACTGACAGCCACATGCAATGTCGCGAGCCACATGTAGCAAGTCCAGCATGCAAAGGGAAGAGGGCTGGCTCTACCAAAAGACAAGGTACAAAGTGGGGTTAAAGCAGAAATGATGCATGGTTCATCTTCAGAGCTATGAGTCACCAATGAGTTAGGGAGATCTCAAATGAGGGACATGGAGCAAATGCTAACACAAATACAGGGGATGTAAACTACCTCATACACAGCTTTCCAACTAGCATAAATGTTTCATATCTGGGGAGGTTATGAAAAGGTGCTGGCACCTAATCATACACACAAATCGCACTAATAGAAGCAGAATCACTAGATCTAATATCTTATTGTAGTAGGTCATCTAATTCCCCTCACAGCTGCAGCAGGATTATTCCTTACAGTGTATTCTCCACTGCTTTATGCAGTCTAGCTTTAAATGTGCTTCCACCACCTCTCATGGGAGACTATTCCATAGTCTCAGTATTATAAGTATTTTGGTGATATTTAGCCTGAATTTATCTTTGCTCAGTTTCATCCCATTATTCATACTTCCATAAGTCACCCTAAACAATCAACCCCTCCTCTTCTACAGCCCCCACATATTATCTGAGTTCCTGAGTGCCATCTTTGTATTTGCATCCTTCACGTATGTGTAGATTTTTATCAATTGCCCGTTTAGTTATTTAGCTTAATCTCCAGGAGTGCATCAGTGCAGGGAGCTGATGTCTTGTGACAGGAAGGGGAGGGTGCATTCATACAGAACTACATGATGTACTTTGGAGAGGAAGAATTGCCTTTAAGTGACATGACTGACAGGTGGGCATGCCAGGACTCTGCACACGAATCAAGCAGCTCATCTTCATCGCACCTATTAAAGAGCAGCATCTTTTAACGCTGTATATCCCACCCACTGATACACACACCAGTACTGGTTCATCAGTGCCTAGGACTCTAAACGCCCCCCTCCCTTCATGATGAAAGGTACTAGGTCCTGGTATGCTGCTCCCTGCCACCTTCCAGCTCTGAGTCATAATGGACTTTAGCCTAACCAGCTGACTAGGATTAGAACCAGCTCCTAGCTCCCCTGCAGTTTGCAGCATGCACAACTGAACAGGAAACAGCGAGCACTGGCTGCTACAACTGAGGTCTTAGTCTGGCTGAAAGGGTTGGGTACTCTAAGCCCTAGTCTAATGAAGAGAGCACCAAAGAACTGCAAAGCACCCTGCGTTATATGTTGTCTGAGCAGAGGCTTACCTGCACAGCATCACACACACACACAGCTAAGCAAAAAGGGCAGTGTAGACACATCTATCCTGCCCGTGTTTTACTATACACACGGTTTGTTTAACATGCACAGTGATTACTGAAGTGCCCTAATACATAGGAGAAGAGAGCTGGGCTTTTATTTATTTATTTGTGCATAGTGTTATTCCCAGAAGCCTTACTTTTTGATGGAGAATCTCTTTTAGTCTTACTCTGCTGACTACTGAGTGATTCACCAGCATTGAACATATGGCTAAAACGATCAACAAAAGGGTGATGGTGTCTTTTCTTAGGGGTCTGAGCAGGGACTGCTTTGGGGGATAAGGGATAGCTCAGTAGTTTGAGCATTGGCCTGCTAAATGCAGGGTTGTGAGTTCAATCCTTGAGAGGGCCACCTAGGGATCTGGGGCAAAAATTAGTACTTGGTCCTGCTAGTGAAAGCAGGGGGCTGGACTCAATGACCTTTCAAGATCCCTTCCAGTTCTAGGAGATAGGATATCTCCATTTATATTTTTTGGGGGGAGGGATAGCTCAGTGGTTTGAGCATTGGCCTGCTGAACCCAGGGTTGGGAGTTCAACCCTTGAGGGGGCCATTTCAGGAACTGGGATAAAAATCTGTCTGGGGATTGGTCCTGCTTTGAGCAGGGGGTTGGACTAGATGACCTCCTGAGGTCCCTTCCAACCCTGAGATTCTATGACTTCTATGCTTCAAACCTTTCAACCCATTTAATGGCCTTTCTCCTGTGATCACGGTTCAGGAGCCAGGAGCCAACTCAATGGATACACAGTGAATAAAAAGTCCAATTCCTCAGGGTGCAGAGACTGACCCCTGGGCTGAATTGAGCTAAGACACAAGGCAGATGGAGGGATGAAGTCACAAGTTGATTCTAATTGTGACACTTTTTCTTCCTTGGTCAAATTTTGGCTAAATTGAAATTCTAAAGCAGATGTGACTTATCAGCCAACGACAATTTATCTGAGTAATTTGCGCGAAAGACAGAGTTTTCAGACCCATTTTGTGCAGTGAGCAACCTTGACACACTAGAGGATCAGCTTTACAGCTGTTTACAGCTTTTCCTCCCCAAAGGAGAGGAAGAAACCAGCTGGAAACTGTAGCTCACGATCAGCCTTTAGAGCGAGAGGTGCATTGGAAGCGCTAAAGCGACATCTTCCGTCCCACCCCTCCCCTTTAGGTCCAACCTCTCTAAAGGTGAAGGTGACCACAAAACAAACTCTGTCTATTGTTCAGTATAATCACTACTCTGCACAACAAGCTGCAGGATACAAAGGAGGGAAATTACTGCTTATCTTCCAGAGCCATCCTCTGATTGCTTTGCCAGGTGAGAAAAGGATCAAACAGATAGGGTTTTGAACTCCACAGAAAGGAGAATTTTGCAATGTTCTCAGTATGTTCCTGGCATTTGAGCAGCTAAGTACCGCCCAAATCTATTGAGTTTATCTCACTGCTGAGAAGGAGGGAAATACAGCCCCTAAATAGACACTGATCTTCATTAGAGGTGGGACAGAACAAAAGCCCTGAGTCCATAAATCCCTGAAATTTGGGAGAGTTTGGATCTGAACTTTCTGGCTTGGGCTCACCTCTGATCTTGATAACCCTCAGCTAGGATAAATCGGTAAAGCTCCACAGAAGTCACTGGATTTATTCTTATTTATTATAAGCTACTTGTCACCAGCTGAGGATTTGGCCTATGGGTATAAATGTTACATTTCTTGTTTAAAGTCCAATGGAATGTTTCTTTTGTTCAGCCCAGTTGAATGTTTCTTTTATTGTATGTGGTACCTTGATGCGATGGTGACAGGCAAATTGTAAATGATAACAATAAGGGAAGGACAGGGAAGTTAGGAAAAAGAGGTGAAGAATGGAGAGAAAGAGTGAGGAGGAAAGACAAGAAGGGAGAGACAAAAGGGGTAGTTATGCAGTAGGCAGTAAAGCATTACCACTGTACCTGCCAAAGCTGATTTCTCTTTGTACTTAATTTTCCCTAAGAAGCTAAACTCCTTTTTCTCAATAAAGGTACGTCAGTGTGTTTTGAAAAAACCATCATTGTCTGGCTGGGCATGACACGGTCTGTGAGACTAGAAATCTGCGTGATCAAAGGGAAAGTCACTTTGCTACAGCCTGCCCTCTGAGGGCTGGTCTACACTGAAAAAGCACACCCTGAGAGATACAGTTCAGACGACCTAGGCCCTGGTGTAGATACTGCTAGGTCTATGGAAGAATTCTTCTGTTGACCTAACTCCTGCCTCTTGGGGAGGTGGATTAACTACAGCAATGGGAGAACCCCTGCAGTCGCTGTAGTGAGTGTCTACATTGAAGTGCTGCAGCCGTGCCGCTGCAGCCTTTAAGTGTAGACGTAGCCTCAGATTGTCTACTTTGAACTTCAGTTTGGGGTCACGGGGAGCAGGATTGAGTAGATCCAAGTTGCATAGATGCAGGCCAGAGCAGTTGTACGCAGGATCCATCATACTCCAGCATATGGGAAGGAGCCCACCAGCCAAATAAGTGAGCATCCATATTTCCAGCCCAATATTCCCAACTTTACCACGATAACTGTTAACCATTTGAGCATAGCACACTGCCCATCTCTGATATCTCACCAATGAGCGCAATCCCTGGCTTTGTACTTCCCGAGCCAGCAGGTGCAGGGTGAACAAAGGAGGCAGCATTCTCAGACCCGGAAGGTGCCTCCAGTCACCCGAAAGCCACTCTGACAGCTAAACAACAAGCTGCAGTGGGACTCTTGCCTGGCAGTCCTCAAACAGGATGGTGTCAGTGATACGTGGCCCCAAGGATGAGGATGCGTTCAAAGTAGAGCTGGAACACTTGGATCCAAATCTGAACTTGCACAAAGTTTAGGGATGTTCAGAACTGGGGTTCTGGTTCGGCCCAAGCCACCAAGTTCAAGTCAGTGTTTGAGCCTCCTCTTTGGTGGGGGGTGAGATGCAGTATTAGTGGAGTATCTCTAGTTCAGGTCCAAAAATGGGGGATATGGGAGCTCCTCAAGTTGCCAGCTGGGCTACCCTCTCAAAACAATAGTCCCCTACATAATATCTGATGTTGTTATTCCTGAACCACCTAATGGAGCCCAGGAAGGGCAGAAGGAAGGTGAAGGAAGAGATTGGGAAGGAAGGAGAGGGGTAAAGGGAGAAGTAAGAAGGAAAGAATACTTGTTGCATAGAGCACAGGCACACTGAAGCTTTCCACATTCCCTCATTTGTGTGTGCATCTCTCTTAACTCTCTGTGTTCGCCACTAGCTGTCAGAGAGGCTGAGCAGAGCAGCCGCTGGCATGGGGAGATGAAAGCACTGTCGCATGGGATGGTACTTACAAACCGCAGAAGGGCAAAGAAAAGACAAAACCCTCAGATCAAGCAATGTCAGTGATTTCATTCTATGAAGATAAAGGGCCTTTTATCATCAAAAGTGTCTGGTTTATTTTCTTGTAAGAAATAGGTCAAAATGCCTGCAGTTCACGATGAATGTCCTTGGTGCTTCTCTACTAGGGCCCAAGGGATTGCTGTCTTGGCTTCTCTCTCTCATTTAATGAGCTAAAACAAGGACTACATTGTGGAGCGATGGTGTGCCCAGCCAGACACCATTCCTGTTTCATCTGACAGACAGCACCTCCGGCAGCACTGCTTGCCCTGGTGTTAGGGCTGTGGATCTGTACCGACTCAGTGGGAAGACGCCACCTGCTGCACCACTAATGCTATTTCCCGTGGCACCATATCAAGAGCAAAGCCCAAGTTGTAAAGTCTAAGATATCTGGCCTTGGCTCTGAACTACCCCTGTGCTCAGCTCTGCTTTCAGTCCAGTGCTCCAGTGTGGGCTCATCTCTAGTCAGACGCTGCTTCATTGTGATGTCTGACAGGACCACAACACACGGTGTTGCAAAGAACCGAACTCGATTCTATTCTAGAAATTGTCTGTCCAGCTGCGTATTTCATACCCCCACAGTCTGGGTGTTCGGCCCCATAGTGTGGTCAGCAGAGACTTTCATGAATGCTTAATCCAAGCCATGGCTTAGGGAGACCCTGTGTAGTGAGATTAAGCAGCATAGGTTGTTTTAGTCAGTCTGGAAGCTAGAGCACCAGGTAGAACTACAGAGTCTGTTTGTGTCCAGCAGCCTCAATAAAGAATCCCCTTTGTATGCAATAGAAGCCAACTCCTCTCTCTTCTCTACTGCTAGGGTACTACAGGATCCAGAGTTTTGCTCTGGGCTCAAAGAAAGATACAGTGGAGTCGCATCTTACGCGGGGGTTAAGTTCTAAAGTCAGTGCGTAAGGCGAAAATCGCGTATAGTCAACATTACCCTTGAAAATCCCTTAAATCGCCCATAAAGCACAGTATACTGTACATGGTTTTGTGTATACAACCCTGTACAGTAATATGTATAAATGTATAATGTATACAGTAATGTACAGTATATAATAAAGAGTACATATGCAAAATATACTTTTACAGTACTGTATTTTTAATTACAGGTGGTAATTACAGGGGGTCGTCAGGGCTTGATGTCGATCCAGGAAACGGAGGTGACGGAGAGTGAGTCATAGACGAAGTGGTTGGCTCTGGTTCAGCTTGAGAAGTTGATTGCATAGGCTCATTTGCTGCTGGCTGTTTTTCCTTGAAAAACATGGTGATCGGCAACAGTCGCTGTTGTCTCTTGAGCTGCTCAAACATTTCTTGATACGGTCTCAAATCGTCCGTAATACTACTTGTGATTTTGAGGCTTCGTTCCATAGAGGGATCATATTCAGAAATTAAATCATTCAAGTGTTTCGCTGCTTGGAACACTTCAGCAAATTTATGAAGATTCCAACTTGCTGGCTCTTCCTGTTTGTCATCATCATCTTTGTCTTCTGTAGACGATTTTATCAGTTCCTCTAACTCTTCGTTAGTCAATGTTTCTCTATGGCTCTCAATTAATTCTTCAATTTCTTCCTCAAGGATGTCGACGAAGCCATCACTACCCACTTGCCTGGCCACCTGAACAATGCGTTTCACTTCTTTGTCAATGGTCGGGAAACCCTTAAAATCATTCACATATTCTTTCCATAGGTTTCGCCCACACGCATTGACTGTTTCAGGCTTGATTGCATCCATTGCCTGTTTAATATAAGTGATGCAATCAGCAACGTTGAAGGACTTCCAACACTCCATCACATTAACATTGGGATCAGCATCCATAGTTCTATGTATCCGTGAGAATGTAAGCCTTGTGTACGTGGCCTTGAAACAGCGAATCACGCCTTGGTCGAGAAGTTGGAGGATGGAGGTGATATTGGGGGGGAGAAAGACGACTTCAACGTCATTATGTGCAAACTGGAATGCCGCAGGGTGGCCAGGAGCATTGTCTACAATCAGCAACACTTTAAAGTCAAGTCGTTTCTCTTCGAGGTACCGCTTGACCTCCGGAATGAAACACTTGTGGAACCAATCCAGAAATAATGCTGCTGTCACCCAAGCCTTTTTATTTGATTGCCAGAACACAGGCAGGAGATTTTTGTTCTCTGCCTTTTGCAGCCCCGTAGAGCAAGCCCGGCTTTATTAAATGCCCAGCCGCATTGCCACAAAACAACACAGTCACATGGTCTTTAGCTGCTTTGAAGCCAGGGGCTTGTCTTTCTGATTTTGAAATGTAAGTGCGGTTGGGCATTTTTTTCCAGAAGAGCCCAGTCTCGTCAGTATTAAAAACTTGTTCCAGAAGATAGCCCTTTTCTTCTATGATTTTCTTTAATTGTTTGGGGTAGGCTTTTGCTGCCTCTTCATTGGCAGATGCAGCTTCACCAGTAGTCTGCACGTTTTTGAGGTTGAAGCGGTTCCTAAAACTGTTAAGCCAACCTTGGCTGGCTTTGAATTCCTTCTCATCAGAAGGCTGTCCCTCTTTGGCAGGAGGTTTGAACAGCGCGTAGAGGGTAACAGCCTTTTCTCGCAACGTGTTGCCATCGATAGGCACACGTTTACAATTCATGTCTTCCAGCCATAAGTTTAATGCCTTTTCGGTCTTCAATAAAGTCTTATCACGCACCTGGCTCGTCACCTTAGCAGTTATTGAAGCACTTGATGCCACGGCTTGACGAATTTCTCTCTCTCGAATCTTGATGGCACGGATGCTAGATTCGTTGCGGCCATATTTATGCGCCACGTTGGAGACCAATATACCGTCTCTCAATAAGTCCAAGACGGCCAGTTTTCCCTCCAGCGTTGGAACAGATCGTCGTTTCTTTGGTTGAGCACCAGATGAAGTAGTTGTCTTGCGTTTAGGGGCCATGTTGTACGAAAAATGCGAGATGCTCACACTATGAGAGGCACATGGGAACTGAGACCGACTGAGGGAACAGCAGATTCACGTCTCCCATCTCACGCTCACTCCGGGGTATACACTCATTGGGTGGAATCGCCCGCACTATTTACAGGTATCTTGTTGTTTTTCTTTTTTTTGCCGAGCGCGTATAGTTGAATTCGCATAAGTTAAATGTGCATATGATGCGACTCGCCTGTCCAGACAATCTGACAAGTTTGGCTCTGGTGCTAAGCTTCCCCAAAATCTAGACCTTTTCTGATCCAGTGGCTTGACTGGACTCTAATCTATTTTGCTTAGCATCAGTAAACTTTAGCAGGGACCGCCCATTTCCCAGGACTTTCTAATTATTGTTATACAGCATTTCCTGGTGGTTCTGGTTTCACCGGGAAAGGCTCTAAGAACACAGGACATTCCAAATAGCATAGCAGGTTCTCGAACCCAATTCAAGGAATGAGTCTCCTCTTGTTTACATCAGTTTTATGCTGGTGAGACTCCACAGACTTAAATGGAGCTACTCTTGATTTACACCAGTGCAAACAAATCAGTTCCAGCTCAACAATGTCTTCTTTTTGGAGTGAGTGCAGGTGCAGGCATAAATTTCTCACAGTTTAATCCCCTCCTTTTCCAGAAAGGGGCTGATGGCTCTGGGACTTATTCATACTCTTTCATCTGAACTGTCTTTAGTTCTTTTTTTGCAATTGTTACCAATGGGCTGATAAAGACCTCCAGATTTTATGGATGCCGGGATTTTAGAAACAGTTGCCACAGGCAATGAAAAAGCCACACCATTTTTAAAAGGGGTAAACACCGAGGAAAGCTCACAAGTGAAACCACCGACTCTTTCCACATCAGCCACTGAACTCTGCTTAAATTTATCAGCTCATTGGGGCTGGACCATCTTTTTGTTCTGTGTTTATACAGCACGCAGAACAATGGGGTCCTGGTCCATGACTGGGGCTCCTAGGTGCTACTGCAATTCAAATAAATAAAATAACAAAAGCTTGCAGTCCCTACCAAGGGGTATTTGAACTAGGGATCTAGCAATGAAAGGCTCTGCTCCCTTAACGAACCCTCTATACAAGAGGATTGGAGACTTTTTAGTGGTGTGGAATTATTAGCGAGATCTGGTGGACACCTCACCTCCCATTTGCTGTCACATTGTAGCCTTGTGGCAATTGCGGACATGGCAAAGTGCCATTGGGGAAGGATTTATGTGATTTAAGGGGCTCTGTGATAAATGTTACATAGTTAAAAAAAAAAAAAAGGCAAATCACACACACTGCTTTTCTTCTCCCCTTCTCATCTGATCTGTTCCTCTTCCTCCCCGTCCTCCACTGGAGATGCTGCTCCTTCACCAACTGGCCCATCTCCCCGGTCCCATGGGTATAGTATCTGGCTACCTTGTGTCCCCCTCTTCCCTACATGTTCCTCTTCTGGAGTTGTCTGGCAGCTTCAGACCCACTGGTGGCTCAGGTTCCTGACTTAGGGGTGGCTTCTCTTTCTCCTCCTTTTACAGAGCAGTGGACTTTATCAAAGGCAGCTAGACTGGCTCCTCCTCCTAGTCTTTGGAGAGCCTGGAGACCTGTAGAAGCGGCTGGAAACTAGGAGAAGGATCCAGCACCATGTGACCAGCCAGCTCTCTGCAGGCCACCAGCAAGTGCTCTGTGGATTGATTACACATGTCTCTGAAATACAGTTTGGGAACTGCTGCTCTAAAGCATCAGGGTCTCTCAGAAAATAAACAGGTTCTAATTATGTGTATTCAGCATGTTATTAGGGTAAAATTACTGGAGGCCATTCCCAATTATTAATAGGTCAGTGGCGTGAGTGTGCTTTAGTTTAGCTATTTGTAATGCTTGGCGCGCTCTGAGGAGAGGAGCCAGGAAGAACACCAGTGTAGTTAAACAAGGAAGAAATGGCAAAGAGAGTAAGGCACAGGCTGCACAGCTAGTGGGGAAAGATAATTCCCCCCATCCCACCTTACCGGTCGAGGCCGTGTCTCCCTCAGGAAGGATTTCAGGTCCCCTCCAGCCATAAGCTCCAGCAGGATGAAGCGTGGCAGCGCCTGCAAGCTGACCCCAATACAGCGCACGATGTTCTGGTGGTTGAACTTGCTGCAGAGAGAGCGAGACTAAACTGAAGGGCAGCTTTGAACCAAAAGGCACCTTGATGTGGAGAGTCAACCTGCCCTACCACAGAGAAGTTGTTTTTCCAGAGGAAACAACACATCTGAAGGGGTGCTGAGCCAGTCAAATGTAGGTATGGTCTGTGATGCTACCAAGTCTAAGGTATCACTGTTGGTAGATCTAATTAGCAACACTACTACTTTGGAGACACTGGCCCCAGTTCTCTGTTAGTTTGTCTCTGTGCTTGGAACCGGAATGGAGGATGGGGCTTTCTGCTCCCTTTGCACTCCCTATATTAAGCGTCTGGCACAGCCTATGGGCCCTGGGAAGCAAAGAACAGCCACAATTCACTGTGCTCTGGACATGCGCCCTCCTCACCCACATCTACCTCCCCTCTGACTTCCCTATGAGTGAGATTGGGAGTAGGGTTGCTCCAGCAGCAATACACAGACATGGGAGTCAGTTATGCAGCGGGTATTACCCTGGGTCCCCAATGCCACCGCTTTCAATGCCCATTTGTGTCTCCAGCTCTTAGTGGAATGGAAAATTGGCTGCCTGGGATCTGTGACTCTGCCACTGACACTGTGTGGGCTTGGGAAGGCAAATTACTTAATGCCAACATTGTCAAAACTGTCCACTAACTTTGAATGCCCAACCTAAGACAAACAGGGCTGGATCTTCTCATGTGCTGAGCTCCAGGTGAATGGGGGAGGTAATTATGTTTGAAAACTAGGGCCTCAGTGTTCCAGGTTGGGCACCCAGACCTTAAAGCATCTAAACTCAATGGACCGTTTTAAGAACATTAGCATCAACCTTTCTGAGCCTCAGTTTCACCATCTGATTTTTTTAAAAAAAAGAGAGAATAGTGCCCACCTGCCATTGTCAAGCACTTTGATATCTTTGGGTGAAAAGTGCAGTATGATGTATTTAACATCATCTCACATAGCACTTTTCATCTTGTAGGACCTGTGCTTTGCCATGCATAGCCTACATAAGCCCTTGGTTACCTTTTATTAACACACCTGATAATAAGAGCTTCCATGAGGAAATCCAGCTCATCTTGCTCTGAACACATCTCTGGCAATGTCTGGAAAAGACCGGACAAGAAGGGAGAGGTTTTAGTCTCATGATTGTAGAATCCCAGAACAAACAGAGTCTGCAGCCATCCCCTTCTCTCCACAAGAAACTCTCACACCAAGCTAACAAACATGCCATTTTCAGACTGGGTTGTGAAGCCCTGTTGGCAGACACGGGAGATTTGCCATCAGATCAGAACATTGGTCCATCAAGCCCAGAACCCTCCTTCTGGCAGTGGCCTATAGCCAGATACTTCAGATGAAGAAGAAACACCCCATAATGCAAACAGTCAACTGCACAATGTTGTACATATTGGGGACTCTATCGTGTTGAGTGTGATATAATGCCTAGACAGATTCTTTCCCGACCATTACAATCAGCTACTGCTCTACTGGAAATCTGCATCTGATGCTAGTCACCTCGATTTCAAGGATGACGTCAACAATCATAGTTTGTACTAACGGGTTTTTGCGAGATTCCTCAGACCAATTTGGGAAGAACAACATTTACCAGACTGGCCGCAGAGCCATTTGCCCAGTTGTGCTGATTGAGCTGCTTGCTGTTTTTGTGCTTGGCACTATGCTTCCAGCTACTCAACATGATTCTTTTCCAAATTGTGGCCACCCACCCTTATGGCTGTGGCACCACGCAATGTGATCAACTGCCAGTTGCTCAAAAGGTTGAGTCGGAAATGTTCGTTTTGGGGCAGATTTTGTTTGAGGGGGTCTTTGAAGCGTTTCATCTGCCCTCCATGCTTACAATTGCTGGAGCTTAATTGGGAATATGCAACGTGTTATAATAAATTGGTCTCAGTCATACGAATTACATGGTCAGTCCATCTAAGTGGGTGCTTGAGATGAAGTGAGCTCAATACCAACCGAACCAGCTTTTGCCAGGAATTCCATATCAGAAACCCAGTCCTGCCATCTGATGCCCAGCAACCATCATCGGTGTCATAAATGGAAACTGTCTAGATTTTTATGTGCCATTTATAACAGGTCCATGTTTTGCACCCACAGAGCAAAGTTTTGAGGACAACAGCATTATAGACTTTGATTTTTTCTGTAGTCAGATTCCATGTTGCTTCCAGATTTGGTGCTGGAGGTAATCATATGCAGCATTAGCTTTCTTAATTCATGTATCAACTTTGTGGTCAATTGTCGCTTCGTTGTCCAATGTGCTAGCGAGATAAGTAAACTGTTTGATGGCTTGGAGTGTGGCACCTTTCAAGATCATTGATGGGTCTTGGTAAGGTTGTTGAGGAGCTGACTAGTACATAACCTTGCTTTTCGTTCGCTGACAGTGAGGCCAAAATTACGAGCCACCACAGCAAAGTGGTTTGTAAGATCTTGTAGAGTTGCTTCAGAGTGTGCCATCAAGACACAATCATTGGCATACAGCAGTTCCTGGCCCAATGCATCTATCAGCTTGGTGTTTGCACGTAAACAGGAAAGATGGAAGAGCTTATCAGTGCAGAAGCATATTAACATGCCATTTCAAGACCCACAAAGGACTTTCTGTAACATCGCAGCAAAGAATAGACCAAAAAGGCTAGGAACGAGGACACATCCTTGCTTTACCTTGTTTGTGATTGGAAATGGATCTGTTACATCACCATCAATATTAACTCCTTCAGCCATGCCTTCATGGAATTGCTGAGTGATGTTAATAAATTTGTCTGGACATCCAAATTTAGCGGGCAATTTCCAGATGGCAGTGCAGTTGACCATGTTGAATGCCTTAATTAGATCAAGAAACACGATGTACAAAGGTTGGTGTTGTTTGTGACATTTTTTCTGTAATTGTTGAATGAGGAAAATCATGTCAACAGTGCTCCTTTAAGCACAAAAAGCCACACTAACTCAGATAGAACATTGTCAACGATTGGGTCAGGAGTTAATTCAGGAGGATCCATGCAAGAATCTTGCTGGTCACAGACAGCAAAGAGATACTACAGTAGCTACCACAGTCATTCTTTGAGTCTTCATGCTTATAGACAATGACGATGTTGGCATCTTTCAGTTATTGCGATATGAAGCCAGACATGTAACAAAGATTCAAAAATCCTGTCAATAAGAAGATTTCCTCCATGCTTGAAAACTTCAGTTGGAATGGCATTAGGATAAGGAGATTTGTTATTTTTCATTACTTCAACAGCTTTCAATGCCTTGGCACGTATGGGTGGATTGGCAAATGCATTAGATGTGGGCAATTTGTGGACATTATCCAGTGATTCATGAGAAACAGTAGAAAAATGATTAAGTAGTTCACTAAAACGTTCATGCCACTGTTGGTAGATGGCAGTGCAACCTGTGATGAGAGAGTCACCATCAGCACTTGTTAGTGGCGTCAAGGCAGACTGGGTAGGATTGTACACAGCTTTGACCGCTTCACAGAAACCTTTGGAGTCATGTTTATCTGCTAGGGTGGGTAGTTCTTCTGCTTTACAGTCAAACACATATTTTGCATTTGGCGGAGTTTGCGCTGGAGTGTGCTGCAAGCTGCCTCATATCTGGCCTTTTTCGACCCAGAGAGTGGGTCAGCTATGAGCATGGCATGCGCTTGTCGCTTGACATCAAGGATATTTGATATTTCAGGATCACTGTTGTCACACCACTCTGCATGATGGCATTTCGTATTCCCAACACAATCCAGAACAGTGTTACAGATCGTGTCACGCAGGGATACTCATTCGGCAGATATGTCATCACTGATCATTGGAAGAGTTTCTAAGAGAGTAGTTGGAGATTCTTTTATATGGTCTAACACCCTCACACACTAACGGGCATATCAACCCAATGGACAGGAATGCTACCGTCCAGTAGTGACCCCTTTGGTTGTGCGAAGCATGGTATTGGCTGGGATTGAAGGGGAGGCTTGCTCAGCCCTTTCATGATGAGAAGATGATGGCTTTGAAGCAGGGACTTGATGATCAGGATAGTTCAGAGGGTAGAGGGAGGGGGATGTAGTGGGGCTCCTCAGGGTTCCCCCAAAGGTGTAAATGAACCCCCAAGGAAAGAAGGGAAGAGAGAAAGGATATACATGCCTCTTGTTGTGCATATGGTCCTTTCTGTTGAGCTGCACTATAATGGAGCAGACATGGAAGTGCATGCCACCTCCATAGATCAGCACTGCTGCGCATCGGTTACACATAGCAGAGGGCATCATGCTGCAGAACTGAAACAATAAGCTGGCTTCCCAGGCAATAAGCTGCCTTCCCAAACTGAGAGGATGCAAGTCATCACAGTTCATTAGTGGCTTTTTATAAATGGTAACAGCCGAATGATTACTGGGCTCTAGTATCCCCGTTGCTGGAGCTCATCATTACCAGCCATGTGTTAGCTTCACTTACAGCAATGTCAGACATCACACAGAACATGGTTGGATGGTAATAGATGCAAGCTGACAGCTTGGAAATAAAGTTCTCTGTAATGCAATTTCTCATTTAGATAAGGTTGAGTCAGCTGGATTAATTTCTCAGAGATTCTGAAAATAAACAATCTTGTTGATGGACATGATGCCTGCAGCACCAGAAGAGACCATGGGAGCCTGGCTAGTGATCGGGGCAGGGGATTGTGAATGATGCAACATGGCCCATGGCAAAGACAGGGCACTGGACTAGGGAGTCAGTAGATCATGTACAACAGGCACAGTGATACCTACTGTCCTTTGTAAAGGGCTTTGAGATCTATGGATGAAAAGCGCTATGTAAAAGCTAGGTGGTATTACTCTGCCCAAGTGACCCTAGGGAAATCATCTCACCTGTTTTGTGCCTCAGTGTCCCTAACTGCAAAACAGGGACAATTCATACCTATCTTCCAGAGGTGTTGTGAGGCTTAATTTATCAATGTTTTTATAATGCTTTGAGGCCCCTGGATGAAAGATGCATGAAGTGTTACTACTGTGATTATTCACATATCGTCACTTACCTTCACAGCCACCTGCAAGGGACTGGGGTCACTGGGGATCCCCACCACCTGACCTTCATATACTTCGCCAAAGGCTCCATGGCCCAAGCCCCTGGATAAACCAGAAAAGATAAGGAGGTTTTAATGCAGAGCATGCACACTGTAATGTTCTGATCACAGGAAACAGAACATGGGTATAGCTTCTATGACAGTAAAATATGAAGAACTGAACCTTCAGTCTTGGCCATGCAATTGGTAACACTCTGCACAGTCATTTGTGGGAGCATGGCTTGATTTCCAATCTCGATTTTGTCTATCTTTGACCTACAATGTAAAAAGTGCTAGGGGAGGTGGCCCTTACAAGTAACAGCTTGTGGATCCTTAATGTATAATAACCCATTTCTGAGTCACTGATAACTCGGAGGAAAGTGATCTTGAATGCTTATGGATCAATGTCCTAACAGATAAAGCACAAGATGGGGTACTAGTAAGTGTCTGCTACTGAGCATCAAATCACACTAGGGAACAAGATGACGGGCTTCTTATATACCCATCTGTAGTGTGTAGGAAAAAAAGCTACATGATCAAGGGAGATTTCAATGTGAGTGACATATGTTGGAGGAATTCTTTATTAGACCTTGTCTTAACAGATAAAGAAGAACTGATCACAACATTAAACATTAATGGTAGCTTAGGTACAAGTGATCATGACTTGATCACATTTATAATGTACAAGCAGAATAAAGTCCAGACTAGTAATATATTTTTATATATATATATATATATATATATATACACACACACACACACACACGTGTGTATATATCATCTAGATCTCTGTGTGTGTGTGTGTGTGTGTGTGTGCTCGCACACGCTTTAATAGGATCAGTTTCACAAAGCTGAAAAGAATGATGAATCAAACTAGCTGGGAGGAAGAATTTAATCAGAAAAACATGAATTATAATAAAGAACACCTTACACTAGATGCCAAAACAGCCAAAATCGCATAATCGAGGAAGAAAGCTGTGCTGGTTAAAAAATTGGTTTAGAAAGGAAGTGAATGCAGCTATAAAAAATAAATATAATATATATCATTACAAATGGAACAAGGGGGAAGTTGATAGTAATGAATATACATCTGAAGTTAGAAATTATAGAAAATTGATAAGGAAAGCCAAGGGACACAAGGTGAAATCTGTGGCCAGCAGAGTTAAGGACAATAAGGATTTTTTAAAAATATTAGGAATAAAAAGAATCCTGACCATGGTATTGGTCCATTACTAGATGGAAATGGTAGAATTACCAACAATAATGCAGAAAAGGCAGAAGTGTTCAATAAATATTTCTGTTCTGTATTTGGAGAAAAACAGACGATATAGTCTCATCTTATAGTGATGATAACCCTCTTTCCATTCCACTAGTGTCTGAGATGATCATTGAACAGAAGCTACTAAAGTTGAATATTTTAAAGTCAGCAGCTCTGGATAACTTGCATCCAAGAGTTTTAAAAGAGCCGGCTGAAGAACTTCCTGGACCATTAACATTGATTTTCAATAAGTCTTGGAGCACTGGGGAAGTTCCAGAAGACTGGAAGAAAGCTAATGTTGCACCAGTTTTTAAAAAGGGCAAAGAGGATAGGTCTGTCAGCCTGACATCGATCCTGGAGCGGCTGATGTGGGACTCGATTAATAAAGAATTAAAAAATTAAAGGAGGGTAATGTAATTAATGCAAATCAACATTGGTTTATGGAAAATAGATCCTGTCCAACTCACTTGATATCCCCCCTTTTTTTTTAATGAGATTACAAGTTTGGTTGATAAAGGTAATAATTCTGATGTAATATACTTAGACTTCTGTGAAGTGTTTGACCTGGTACCGCACAACATTTTGATTAAAAATTAGAATGATGTTAAATTAACATGGCATACATTAAAGGGATTAAACTCTGGCTAACTGACAGGTCTCAAAATATAAATGTAAAAGGGACATCATCATTGAATGGGTGTGTTTCCAGTGGGGTACCACAGGGCTTGGTCTTTGGCCCTATGCTATTTAACATTTTTATCAAGAACCTGGAAGAAAAAATAAAATCATCACTGATAAAGTTTGCAGATGACACAAAAATTGGGGGAGTGGTAGATGATGAAGAGGACAGGTCACTGATTCAGAGCAATCCAGATCAGTTGGAAAACTGGGCGCAAGCGAACAATATGCATTTTAACATGGCTATACAGTATGTAAATGTGCACATCTATGAACAAAGAACGTAGGCCATATTTACAGGATGGGGAACTCTATTCTGGGAAGCAGTAACTCTGAAAAAGATTTAGGGGGTCATGGTGGATAATCAGCTGAACACAAACTGACAGTGTCACACTGTGGCCAAAAGAGCTAATACAATCCTGGCATGCATAAATAGGGAAATCTCAAGTAGGTGTATAGAGGTTATTTTACCTCTGAATAGTGTCCCCGGTTCTGGTGCTCACAGTTCAAGAAGGATGTTAATAAATTTGAGAGGATTCAGAGAAGAACCACGAGACTAATTAAAGGGTTATAAGACAGGTTTTCTAGTGATAGACTCAGAGAGCTCTCTCAAACAAAGAGAAAGTTAAGGATTGACTTGATTACAGTCTATAAGTACCTACATGGGGAACAAATATTCAATACTGGGGCTCTTCAGCTAGCAGAGAAAGGTATAACACAATTCAATGGGTGGAAGTTGAAGCTAAACAAATTCAGTCTGGAAATAAGGTGTACATTTTTGAGAGTGAGGGTAATTAACCATTGGAACAAGTTACCAAGGATCGTCTCCATCACCGACAATTTTTAAATCAAGATGGGATGTTTTTCTGATAGCTCTGCTCTAGGAATTACTTTGGGGGCAGTTCTATCGCTTGCGCTATACAGGAGGTCAGACTAGATGACCACAATAGTCCCTTCTGGCCTTGGAAACTACAAACTATGCCCGATGAAGCCAGTGTACTGGAGTTAAAGTGTTGGCACAGTCGTACATAGCACACAGCATTGTCCTCTTACACTAGTACAAGAACAGTGTTTAATTTTAGTCTACTTGCTGTGTAACTCAAAATGATGGGCCTATCATGGATACACTTTTCATTTGATAGCCATACTCTAAATCTGCTAACAACTCCTCATACAATTATACATCTCACTTAAAGAAAGCATCAAGCGAGAGGCTGTGTAGTACAGTGTGCTATGTAAGTGCTAAAAATGGTTACTGTAGATGTTAACATATTATGAAGAAGGTTTGAGGTTTAATTATGAAACAAGATAGAGAAAAAAGCAAATAAATAAATCGTACATCCCACTAATGCGCGTTTTCTCCATTGTGCTCATTAGAGAAGTTTTGTGTCACTGCTTATTCTGGTTTTCAATTAATGAAAGTTAAAGCACTAAGTGCAACAGCCGGCACATCACATGGGCATTATGGGCTCAGGTACACAACATACCACCACTGTGGTGAATGTAGCGGAGATGGAAGCTGCTGGACTGACAGCGCTGGAATCCCCTCTTCAACCACTGAGGGGTTCAGCTTTGGCAGGGGCAGTGCAAGCCCTCCCCCTGATACTCCTCTTCCTCAACTCTGACACGGAGGGGGCTTTCTAGGGGCTCTCTCATGCAGCGAGATGCCGAGTCATTCGTATGAACCAGGCCCAGACTGATGGCCAGATTGAATGGCTGCTGGGTGGTCTGCGTTCTATTGAGCTGGTGGCCTCATTCCAGTTCTAAATGGCACCTCTGTGGACAGTCTCAGCAGATCACAGAGAGTGAACTCCCCAGATCATGGTCCCTCCTAGAGAAGGTTAAGGTACATGCCTTGTGGGCGAGGGTGGGGGAAGCTTGTGCTATTGTTGTCCATGCTGTACCTGTTCTGTAGATACAGTTCAATTTAGAGTGGCTTTACTCCTTGCCAGGATAAAGAATGTTACATTCTCTGACTGTCAGGCCTCAGCCCTGGCAGCTAACCCACACTGCAAAGTCAAATTGCCTGTGGCTTGACTGCAGCTATCAATTATTCCCAATAAGTGTCAGCCTGAATCATTGTTCTCTGCAGCACTAACCCACCCTTTGTAAAATGGGGATATAAAACAGAGCTGCTACGGCTCATAAACCTATCCCTCCTCCCCCATCAATTCCCAGCTGTTTCCTTTACCCTCGGTGGTAAAGGCATTTGGCAGCACACATTGCATTGGGAAGTCCTAACTTCTGATCAATGAGTTATTAGATATGACAGAGGAGCCCTGAAGTACCTGACAACACAGTGAGGGTGGTAGTGGATGTTGTGGGCTTCATCTCTGTTGTATCTCAGGAAGGATTTTGGAAATACAAGCTCTGAATCTCCCATACCCTCCTGCTTCTTAATCCTGTCTTTTGGCTTTGTGTCTAAGATCATGAAGTATCAGTATCACATCATATCCTCTATGGAGGAGGACTGTATCCTGCAATAGTAGAGGGGCTGGACTCGATGATTCTGCAGGTCTTTCCTAGAGATGATACCCAACCCATGGCCCCCTAATCTTTTTAAAAGTTCTGATCCAGATTCTAATGTGGCTCAGGCCCATGGATAGATTTCCCCATCTCTGGCTTTTATAGTCCGGGTCCCACTGTCCGGTAGCATCTACAGTCTCATTGCTCACTGCTGTTGTTGCAGTTGCTGATGTCACTCTCATTGCCAGGAATCCAGTCACAGACTTTTAATGAACCTCCTCCAATCCTCATGTTCTCCATATTACATCAGTTAATAGTTGGTCTAAACACAAGGGTATTCACAAAATGTTTGAGACCCTGAAAGAAAGATGTCTGGGGTCTGAACTACTGGGCTTCATGGTGATAGCTGTTCAGTTCCTTCTACAAGACAGATGAACAATGTGCCTATGAAAGGCTAAGGAGACCTAGCTGGAGTCCAGTCCCCACAATGATCATGTGTTAAGCATGGAATACCACCCTACCCACCATAGCTCTTTTGTGTGTCCAAGGTGTGTGAATGTATGGAAAGAATGAGAATGTGAGAGATCGTGTGTGTATGTGTGTGTGTGTGTGTGTGTGTGTGTAAGTAAGTAAAAGAGAGTGTATATGAGTGGATGAGGTGAAGTATGGGGAAGGCAAACAGATGAGCTTACCTTATGAGGGAGATATTTTTCCGAGGCACCTCTTTGAGATCACTGATGGAGGTGGTCTTTCCTGCAAAGCAGTAGTTGGGATTGTAGTCCGTCATAATAGTGGAGGTGCGCAGCCTGCTCAGTTTGTACTCAGGGCTCTGTAATTCCAACTGCATGGCTTGCAGCTCCTGGTGTTTCCGGCGATACACTGGAAATAGAGCACAATGAATCAGGGAGGCAGACTGCATTGTGAACATGAAGGCAACCAACACAGAACATATGTGCTGTGGAACTGGTATAGTGCTCAGACTCCAGTGAATCAAAATAAACGGGGGCATTGTCAACCATCTATACTTCACGTATATGCAGAAGTCTGGGTGCTTCTCCAAAGCTCAGGCTGAAATTATCCAACTTGTTTGATTTAGAAATTAGGCTAAGAACAAGCTCACTCATGAGTCGCCCAGTATTTCTTGATTTGAAAAATAGGGTGAAATCCACTAGCAGTGAACTCTGAAGTAACAAATCTGTTTTGTTAGAGTTTGTCTGGGCTTCAAAGTATCCAGATCCAATTTTCCCGAATTTCAAGGGCGTTTGGATGCAGGGTTTTGGTTAAGCGCCTAGCTTATGAGGAAGTTGAATAAAAGTCCATACTTAGTTGCGTTGTATCACAATGTTCACACTAAAATCTCTTTAGAAGTAAAATCTCTCCCCTCACAATGAAGTTGTGTAAATAAAATGACTTCACTTTATGAAACTCCCTCTTGATTCCCATAAGCATGAAGGGAGTCTAGCGGATAAGTGTAAAGTTTTTAAAGACACCCATCCACTTGATCAAATGTTTCTAAACCTCAGACATGGTTCAAATTTGGGGGAAAGCTGAAATCAGTTCTTATAGTCTCGGAATCAATTCACTCAGCTGTTGTGTTAGCTCTCCACACCTATGGAAGACAGGCATTTCTTAGGAAATCACAGACCAAAGCTAGTCTTATTGTGAAAGTAATTCGAGTTCCACATGTAAGTTTACAAAGTAGGGCCCAGTCATGGACAGGCCCAACAGTAATTTTGCCACTGACTTCAATGGGAGCAAGACTGGGCCCGAAGACTGTGGCTGTACGAGGTCCCATGTCTGCTCTGATAGATAAGTCACTGAGAGGAAGAGTTTAAGGGGAAAACTTTCACTAGCAAAGGGGGATGAATTTAATGACCTATTATCAAGCCCTCCTAGTTCTCCTTTCACCTTATCATTGCTCTTGGTTTGGTTGGTCAGATCTCTGCTCATTCCTGAAATGAGAATGATAGGGATGGCCAGAAAGAATTTGGTTATTCTTCTATTCCCTGAAAAGTAATTAGATCCTTAAGGGGATACTGTTAGAACAGAAACTGTACATCTGAAACCACGTGTATGTATTAATAGCAACACCTGAAATAACTACACAAATCTAATTTACTAGTCACCATCTGACCTGGGTGTGTGTTTTTTCAAAAAGCATTTCCCTCAGTTTGGACAATGGAAGGATACTGGCTAGTTTGAATCACTGGTTCTCATGCATTAGTGCAATAATCCTGGTATGTTTAGAGTAGGAATGTAGGCATGGGATTGTTTAAATAAAAATTTAAAAAAAGATGTAATTGAAATTCTGACAAAGGCCATGAACATCCATGTCTTACTAAACCATAATTTGTAAAATTGGAATCTAGGCCAAGGTCTTCAAACTTGGGTAACTAAATGTAAGCACCTAAATGCATATTGTAGGTACCCTAAACTAAAAGAGTCCTGATTTTTTTTTTAAAGTGTGAGCACTCACAACTCCCTTTAAAATCAGTGAAAATTGGAAATTGTGGTCTGACATTTTTACACCCCAAACCACACAACGGTCTCTCTTTAAGGATGTAATCATGAGAAGTACGGCAATGCTGCAGTCAGTCACTGGAAGGACCTTGCAACTAGCTAGTAACGAAAAGGAAGACAAAGATGGTAGTTTAATTATACCTGGATATCCATTTATACCAATATTTACTGCCTGGTGAAATATAAAGTGTAAAAATATTGCTCAAACTAATTTTTTTTCAACTTTCCCTTCACAAGGAAAAATGTCCCTAAGTTGGTAGTTTTGGTTAAAAACATTTATCAAAAAAGAAAACAGATGAGTTTTCATTAAAAAAAAAACAACCAACACAGTGTAAAGCTTGAGTCCTAATGCCAACGTTCTTGGCTCTACTAGAAATGGCTTCGGTGAGAAGCACAATATGCTGCCACTTTTGCTGCTCTCTGCACATTTTGCTTTATGAGACACTCACCTATCATGATCCCGGAAAAAGCCAGAATGAGAGCAGCCACCAGTGCTGACGTCACTACAGACAAGACCAAGGAGAGGGGGAGATGAGCCACGGGGTCAGCTGAAAGAGATGCATAAAGAAGGGGGAGTTACTTGTTTTAACTGATCTCCCTATGGTCAGGCCGGCCGACAGCAATTCCGGGCCTCAGGGCAGAACAGTCAATGGGCCCCCGCGCACGCACAAGCCGTGGACGTGGTCCGCCTGACATTTGGCAGTGCTGCGCCTGCGCTGGCTGGTGCCCAGCGAGCTGCCAGCTGCGCTGCTGGGTGCGCTCTTCCAGCATGGCCAGGGCTTCCACATGCCCGCCCAGTAGGGTTGCCAACTGTCTAATTGCGCAAACCCAAAGACTCTTGCCCTGCCCCTTCCCTGAGGCCATACCCCTGTCCTGCCCCTTCTGAGGCCCTGTCCCCGCTCACTCTATCCCCCCTCCCTGTGTCGCTCGCTCTCCTGCACCCTCACTCACTTTCACCAGGCTGGGGCAGGAGGTTGCGGTGTGGGAGGGGGTGCAGGTTTAAGCTCTGGGAGGGAGTTTGGGTGCGGGAGGGGGTGCAGGCTCTGGGAGGCAGTTTGGGTATGGGAGGGGGTGTGGGGTGCAGGCTCTGGGAGGGAGTTTGGGTGCAGAAGGGGGTGCAGGGTAGGGGCTCTGGGAGGAAGTTTGGGTGCAGGGGTGCAGGAGGGGGTCAGGGTCGGCTCTTACCTCAGGTGGCTCCTGAAAGCAACCAGCACACACCTCTGGAAGTGGCTTCTAGATGGGGGGCCCAGGGGGTCTCCGCGTGCCACTGCCCACAGGCACTGCCCCCACATGTCTCATTGGCCGCAGTTCCTGGCCAATGGGAGCTGCGGAGTCGGTGCTCAGGGTGGGGGCAGCGCACGGAGACCCCCTGCCCCCCCAAGGGCTGTAGGAGCATTCCGTCCGCTTCCAGGAGTGGCGCGGAGCGTGAGCGAGCGGGAAGCCTGCCTTAGCTCTGCTGCGCTGCACTGCCGCCAGTGGTGGAGGCTGGGGTCCCCTGGGCCCTTTTAAATCACCCGGGCCCCTGGGCAATTGCCCCCTTCCCATCCCCCCACCCCATCAGCGGGCCTGCCTCTGGTCATTTTTAATGTAATATTTTTTTCTATCCCTCCTCCCATTGACTCCATCTGTCACTCTTGCACTGTAGGAAACAGAGGATAACCTCTGCTGCAATCAACTCCCAGATCTATGACTTCCAATGGCTCATTGTTTCACTTTCCTCAATTAAGTTTGAGCCATAAAAACAGATGGTTTCCTATCAGGAAATTAATACACACACTCACTGGCTTTGAAAGCAAGGTCATAAAAACAGGGATCAGGGGGTGGGGGTGGGGAGTTAAATTGTCAGTGGGGGCTGAGTGGTGCCATCAATGCCAAGTCATAGCGAAAATAGGATGAGGACAATTGCAGTATATCATCTGCTAAATGCATCCACACAGAAAGAACAGATGACTACTGGGGAAAACCCTACTACATGGAAGCTGTGTTAGCTGGTTTATAACATTCCTTTCCCCCCCCCCGTGCAATATCTACCATTTAATAATACTTATGGAGCACTTTCCAATCAGGGATCACAAGGCAAACGATGACCATCACCACACCCATATAAATACATCTGACTATCCCCATTTTACAGATGGGGAGACTGCAACATAAAGAGGTTGAACAATTTTCCCAACTCAGTGGCAGAGCTGGGAATAGGACCAAGAACCCTGGCTTAGAGTCCCTCGCTCTACCTGCTGGACTCAGTACCTCTTCTTAATGTACAAATGTGGGGAAAGCCCAGTACTGGAGCTCTGAGTGTAAGCAGGGCAAATATACTCCACTCTGCTTGCCTATGTTTTGCGTTCAGCTCTCAAATGAAGCACTGACTCAGATTCTCCTCCTTGCTTTCCCCTCTCCCATGATGTTTACCCCTCCCTCTGCCTCATGCCTGTGACATGTCATCTCTGCCTCTCGGGAAGCCTAAGCTTAGGGTTGAGTTTGACTGGAAAATTCAGGGGCGCCATTTCAGATTTCAGTGGAGAGGGGGCAGCTTTCAGCAGAGGCCCAGGGGCCACTTAGACCCCTGGAAGTTCTTGGGATTTTTGAAGGATAAAAAGTAAAAATCCAAAATCAGTCAGTTCCCTTCACAGCTGCAAGGGGAGAGACCTCACTGTGCTTTTCCTAGGAAAAGCTGAGACTCTGAAGCACAAGATGGCAGCCCCCAGTGCACCGTTGGGCAAAGGGTGCTTCATCGCTCCTCTAGCAGCCGATGTTCTGGCCACCTTTGCCAATCACAGCTTCTAGCCCGAGCACTAGGGCCAATCAGTAGTGAGGGTGTGTGGCACCAGATGAGGTTGGAGCAGAATTGCAGTTGCTTCAGCCCAGAGGACAGGTGGGTCCCTGGAGCTGGGATGGGTAGGTTGGGGAGCAAGCTCCAGGCTGCTTGTGGGTCTCCGGCTGCTGCAGGTTTCAGGGAACAGAGCAGGTCTCTGGGCCTGGAGCCCGAGCTACTCTCCAGGGCAGCCCCAGGTGCAGCCCACAGAAGGGACCCTGTAGGTACTTGTCTTCCTCCTGGGCCATGGGCAGCACCTTGAAATTAAGCATAGGTGGGAGAAAAGAGCAATTCCCTCCCCCAAATTGCAACCCTGGGAAAATTCCTTCTTTGTTTGGGGTGAGTGAGTGCGAGTTAATTTCAGATCAGGGCTTCTCTCTTTGATCTGTGCCCGATACAGTGTCAATGTAACCAAAGGCTCTTTAAGGGACACTCACACCCACAGATCACATATCTTGCCCCTTCAGTGCAAAATATCACTTAACTGCCCAATGATGCATGTATATAAGGCAAAACACATTAGCAGTGCTGCCCCATGTGCCAGCTTCCTCGCCACTGAAGTGCACTGCGTTTTCACTGCAAATGCCAGCAACAAAGGGGATAATTAATCAGGGTCGACTTTAAAGAAAGGCTATCTAAGTGCTTCTGTGCTGTCTTGCAGTCCAGGTCATTAAAGAGGCTTTCACTATGTATTCACTCATAGACCTACCCATCCCAAAGGAGCCCCTTCCTCCCTGCACCTTCTTACCTACACAAGAGACACCATCGTCAGCCAGGTCTGTCCCAGGCTCACAGAAGCAAATGACTTTTTGAGTCTCCAGATCAACACGACACTCATCAAGCTCACAGTGGCTGCAGTTGAGGTGCAGCTTAATAGCCACCTCTCCGTGCCCCTCTGTCACTAGGGAACAGAAGAAAGAGGCTGAGTTGTTATTGTAGAGATAACCCAAGAGCTTTCCGCAGACAGCAACAGGAGAACTGCCGCATTATGGGATGGGAAATGCACAAGCGTATGGTGCCCAAGTGCCCCACATCGGGTGGGATGGGCCCTATCTGAAAATCTTTCCTGACTGCCATTCACCCCTCTCTGCTGACTGTATCCCCACTTCTCACTGACACCTGCATTAGGGGAGAGGAGACTGAAGGAATCTCAGCTAATAGTTTTCATTTACAAAAAAAATCCCTCCGCTAAGCTGTCTTGGACACCTGCACTGTAGCCATGTTGAACCAGCTATGCTGGTGCAATGTGGCCACACAGCCCCACCCCCTTCAGTGAAATCCCCAATGCAGCAAGGCGTCCTGCCAGCCTTGTATTGCCTCTACAGAGCACAAGGGGCATTGTGGGGCAGGCCCAGGGCATGCTGAGGCCAGGAGGAAGTGTTGCAGGAGCAGTCCTGTGCCCTCCATGCTACAGCAAGCCCCATTGGGGCTATGGGAGTGGGGGGAGGAGATGCAAGTTAGGGCAGCCCTCAGGAGCCTCCTAGTCTGTGCTGGGGCTGAACCATCCACAGCATCCCCTACTTACCCACTGGGGGAGATCAAGTTCAAGTCCTCAACTCTTGGGGCCAGCACAGACTGGGAAGGCTGCCAAGGTTGCACACTCCACCTGTAGGAACTGGGGGAAATGCCTCACTGCCCTCTCCAGCAACTCTGTCAGTCTGACCCACGAGACGCTTTAATGGGGGAAGAGCTGAGCACTGAAACATTTCCCATAAGATCGCTCTCAGCTTCCAGCACTAGCAGAAGCACAACATATAAATCACAGGCTGACAGCTTGGGGAGAGGGGTCTGCTAAATCATCTAGTCCGTGCTCCACCCAGGACTGGATTGTGGTCGTAGATTGTTGTAAACCAGACGTATTCCAACTTCGTTGAGTAACATCTTTTATTTCAGGCAACACACCTATCCCGGCAGTAGCTCCACAGACCCACACTTGCCACAGTTGCCAACAACATACAACACAACACTGGAACACCCACAAATGTCCTTGTTTAACAGTCTGCCTACTCCCCCTACTGGCTGCCTTATTACACACATTATAACAATTTGTTCCCTACAGTATTTCTTGGGTTCATTGTCCAGTCCAGTTTTAAGCGACTTAAGAAATGAAGCTTCCACCACTTCTCACTGTTAGGAAATGTTTCCCCAACAGCCTCCATTTTTTTCTTTGCTCCCTTTCATCTCCTTATTCCTCACTGGACTACACTAAACAACTTCTCTCCTTCCTTGGTGTTCACAACCACACTAATCTACATTTTCTATCTAAGGATCTCAAAGATTTCCAGACACAGCCTACTCTAAACATGAAGGAAACTCATGAGAACTGATTTCGGACCGATATCAATACCTTTTAGTGCGGGGGTGTATAAAGTACCCAGTGGACTAATAAAGGACACACCATCCTCCCCATCCATCTCTGGGTCATTGTCCGCTGCAGCATTGCCACCTATGTCAAATCAGAAGGTACCTTAACATACTGTGGTTCACTAGATCTAAAATACAGTTAAGAATTGCAACATGCAGGCAAATTCACAGTATGAAGCATCCAAATGAGAAAGGGCAATTAATCAGTCAAAATATCCAACTGGGATGTTTAATGGATGGTGGAAAGGTTTAGTGGATAGTGGTACGGACTATTGGCCTTTCACTTCTGGGATTTCGGCTTAATAACGCTTGTGGCTCTTAATTAAGCAAATTAATCTTTCAACTCAGTCCCAAGCAGACCATTGCCCACTAAGCACAAACATCACCTTTAATCATTCGGATGCTGTGAAAAACATATGAACAGATCGTCCTATGCAGTCATTTGGCTAGCAGACTGGTCAATGCCAGTGCATAAGGGTTAATTCCGCACAGGTGCTGATCAGGCTACGTACTCCACCAGCACTGGGAGTAACAGTCAGCTGATCTGCTTTCTCTCCTCTACACCCCTTGGGCCAGGGTGGTCCAACAGCGATGGGGGACTGAAGGAGCTTGCCTGGGAAATGTTCAAGTGTGCCTTGGACAAGCAGAGGATCTCAGAAGCGGAGCTGTAGACCAATATTTGATCTGTTAACATGCACAGATGCCCTTCCTCCCCCCCCCACAAAAGAGAGGGTTGTTTTTCCACTTTCATCACCTTTGGCAGGGGAGAAAATAGCATACTGCAAACAAAAGTATCTTACATGAGGCATTCTGTTGAAAAAATCGTTACACATAATATCAGCACAATGCAGGTGGTCAAGCTAGGAATTCAGGCTAATTACTTCCTTGCAGTGTTTTGAGTCTACGATTGCCCTGATTTCAAGCCACAGTGGTGGATAACCAGGGGTAAGAAGTCCACCACAGCTGAAGAGATGGGTGGCCACAGGGACTGATTATGAGTTGTGGAGCTGTTCACCCTATGGTGACGGCTTTCAGTCTGGCCCATATCAGTAGTAATTCAGTGTCATTACCATCTGACGGCTGACCTGGAGCCTACTGGAAAGGAATTAGTGGCCTCCGTTCAGTTCCTTGTTGATGAAAGCCACCATCATAGCTGTCATTAATTGGCCTCCCTTGTTGGCAGTCTTAGCACAAGAGCCAAGGATTGGACTATGGAGACCAAAATACCTGCCTTGCCCTTAGAGGTTATTCCTCTAGGGTTGAGGCATGCTGGTCTTAGGGCAGTGTGGAGAAAGCTTGGATTGCCACTGCTCATGCTGAATCTCCTTTAAGGCTATGTCTACACTGCACCGTTAACCCGGTAATTGGCACCAGGGTCTGAGCATCTGGGTTAGCCCTGCTCGGGTGAGAGCACCTCCACTGCAAAGCCATATCTGGCTATTTCCACACTTGCCTGTGTGTTTCTGGGGGAATACACCATGGTTTTTCATGCTGAGACACTCTAGGATTTCTTTCCCAGCCAATTGTGGGAGAATTTGTCTCTCCTTCACAGGGAATGGTGGTAAGAGCTTTGGAGGACTCGAATGATTTAGCCTGTGTCCCCACTGAACAGTAGGTGGTTTTCAGCCTGAGTTAAAGTGGAGTCATGGCTCTCACCACCCCTCAGCTGGGTCAGCTAGCCTGGGCTCCAGACCCGGATAAAGGGTGTTTTCTTTCCCCCCTGCATGGATGGTAAGTGGGGTGAAGACTAAAACCCGGGTTAACTCTGCAATGTAGACATACCCTAAGTGCAAACACTGGCCATCAGACTCCATGGCAAATGCCCCCAGATGCTGGTCTTGACAACAGGAATGCAAAGCCTATGGCTCCTGCTTCTTCAGCATCATGGCCAAGAAATGAAAGACTCAATATATAATTATGAGTCAAGAATCACAGCAGGATCTTGATGGCATAGTTTTCCACAATGCAAAGCCAGGATTCCAGCTGAAGAACTGACATCCGGCTGTTTGCTTAAAGGCTAAACAACATAAGTTCATCCAGAGCTAAAAAGGCGACACACAGACATCCTATTACATAACAATCATATATACTAGCTATAGGAGAATTTTTGATCAGTGTTTTGCTGACTGTTAGCACTAAAGGAGGGGAAGGGACACCTTGAACATGAAGCCACTTTACCTATATATCCTCCGCCTCCTCCACCTGAGGAGCACCCCCCTCCACCCCCTCCGAAACCCCCTCTTGTCTCCCACCCCCACTTCTTCATGGCCTGGGGGCAGGATTTTCCTCCAGTAGCACCTTCCAGCAAGGACTTTCCTGACCACAGGAAGGAAGTGTTATCATTCCAGCCACCTCCACCACCTGCAGTTAAGAAAAGAGAAAGCAGCCCATGTAAGTTTCTGTTACATCCAAAATATATATATCAGCAGAATGAATGCTCATTCCAAACACGTCAGCTGCAAGGGAGATCATCATCTAGTGGTGAGAGAATGGGATGGGAGTCAGGACTGCTGGGTTCTATTGCCAGTCTGCCACTAACTGGCTGTGTATGACTTGTGGCCACCACAAACTCTCTGTGCCTCTTTTCATCCATCTATAAAAGAAGTGTAATACTGTAATGAGAGCTGGTCAGAAAATGGTATTTTTCCATGAAAAATGTAAAGAGATGAAAAATGTGAGTGTGTGTGGGGATGTAGGAGGACATAGGATTTTTTTTTTTTTTTTTGAGGAAATTTTCCAGTTTTTTCATGAAAAACGAAACCCAAAACTTTTTTGGTTTTCAAAAGGTTATTGGTTTTCAAAAAATACTGAAATAATTTTTTCACTAAAAAACCCATAGAAAATGTTAAAAGAAACATTTTTCTGCAAATAAATTAATTAAAAATGCAATTTTTCTTCACCAACTTTTTTTGATTGAAACATTTTGACTAGCTCTAACTGTAATGGACCGGCTACTGTGTATGTGCTCTATTGCCCTCTACAGGATGAAATCAGATATTCTCAAGTGTGTGTCTTTGGTCTCATATTAGTGACAGCTAACACAGAATCTCCTTTAGCTTGACTGTAGTTGCTAGCACTTTTTGGAGCAGGAGGATTTAAGCATATCCTTGCTGTTGCTGTGAAGTTTCAAGTGGCCAGAGCGTGCAGCACAGTGAGAATGGGGAAGTTGGAGTAACCCTTCACCACCACAACTCTTTAGTTTGCCATACAAATCCTGAATAACTTGAGTTTGTGCAGTGGTGGGGGTGAATGGCTTCCTCCACACTGACAAGTTATACGCAGAAACCTGAGCTCAAGCTATGGGAAGTAGAGTGGATGAGGGAGGAACTAACTTTCTATTACTCTGTCACCAGCCTGGGGTCTGAAATATGTTTTTCAAACAAATATTTAATTATCTTTTAAATTAATGGACCACCCAACACAAACCATTTTTCTTGAAACCAAATTCTAACTAATATTTCTACTACCTTGAGACATCTAATTTTCTGATATCAAAGAGTTGTGCTTATACTCTTTAATAGTCTAAAATACTACAGTGATTCTTACTAGCACTACTGGTGCCTTTCATTTGAGGAGCTCAATGTACTTAACAAACAGTAATTAGTTAAAGCTCACAACAGCCCTGGATGTAGAGAAGCATTATCCCCATTTTATAGGTGGCCAAACAGAGGCCTAGAGAGGTTAAGTGACTTGCCAAAGGCCACAAAGTAAGTGGATGTCAAGAAGAAAATTAAGAGTCCTGACTTCCAGCCCTCTGCTCTCTATGCAGTCCCCACTACAAAGCATTCAGTTTGGAACATTAAAAAACCCATTTCTGTGCCTCCATTCCCCATCTGTAAATTGGGGATACTAATACTTCTCTCTTTCAGACAAGGATTGGGGTGAGTTAGTTTGAAATTGTACAAACTACCACATCCGTAAACACTAAATATTGTTAATTGTGATTTTGTTTATTTTTGCAGGGTTCATGATGATTGAAGGTTCAAGATCCAAAGCGCTGGACATTACAGAGCTATGGAAGAGGCTTTTCAGTCTCAGGAAACAAAACAAACAAACATACGGAGATTAAAGTGAATTTCATGCTTGGGAAAGGTGCCAGACTGATTGTCTGTAAGACTGAAGTCCACTAACCACAGAACAGTACAATCCGAGAACGAAACTAGACAATGTTCTGTAGGGAACAATCCTGCCTTGGCAGGGAGATGGACTGGATGACAATAGGTCCTGCCCATCTCTGTTTTTTTGGTTCTGTAAGCAGAGACCGCCGAAACACAAGCTACTCATAGAGAATGCACTTGCCCTGATGCGAGAGGGTGGTCCCCACCTCTGTGGCTCGTTCAGCCATTGACCTTTTTGCAGGGACTGCTAACCTGTTTGCACTAGCCTGGGAAGCTATGCTGTAGAAATGCTACATGATTTCCATGTCTACAGGGATGTGAGAGTCTCACATTTTTGCATCTTATGTTCTGTCCCTCAAAGATTTGCTGAGACAAGGTGGGTGAGGTAATATCCTTTACTGGACCAACTTCTGTTGGTGAGAGAGACAAGCTTTGGAGTTTACACAGAGCTCTTCTTCAGGTCTGGGAAAGATTTTCTGAACAGAGTAAATGTTCCTTACCTGCAGCTCCTGAATTTCCATTCAGCCCTGGAACAGATGAATCATTCTCCAGCCTTTCTGGATGAAAAGTATCTGTTTTGGCCCTGTAGGCCCTGCCACCACCTCCTGCTGCAATTATCAAGGGGACTGGTTCTCCATTCTCCATCTTAACAGGGTGAATTGAGAAATGAAGCTAGGGTTTACGCTGTGTCAACATGCAAATACAAGTTCATCTCACACGCTAGTTACTTCATGTTGCACTAAGCAAGTCCCTAGGACTGCTGAGCAGTCCAAATTACAATTGCCTTATTCATGTACCTGCATCCAAAGATTAATGGACAGTACTAATCGTACCATGTTCAGTGGAGAACAGCAGCTTCGATGGCTATATGTATTGTGCATGCCAGTGCTCACGGATCTTGTAAAGCATGTAATGTTACCCTGTATGATGTAGTATATCAATTACAAGAGCTCTAAGGTACACTGCTCTGTGTAGTGCAGTACAGTGGCTCCACTTTGCAGGGGATTATCACTTTGGGAGCTACTTGAGTGTGCAGAGTTACTATGATATGGTACAAGTCTATTGATTTGAAGCATATTGAGAACACATAAAACTGGGAGTCGGGATGAATGCTGATTGATTAGCCAACTTTTGATAAAATGTAAATGACCTGCAGTGGAGATCAATGGTCTTTGGCTGAAAGGCTACACCTACGGCAGAGCATAAAGGCTGATCCCAATTGTTCATATGCCATAGCACAGCAGAAGTCAAAGGCTATAGGGCCTTGTGTATTCTGTGATTCCACAGCTCAAGAAACTGCCGTGGAATTTACCCATTGGACAGAACTGTGCTCCAGAATCTCAGGTCACAATAAAAAAATATATTTTTAGTCCTTGTGGTTGCAAGGTAAACTTTAAAAATGTGAATGTAAACTGATCCAGTGACCCTGCCTGAGTCAGCAGACAGCCTTAGCAAACGCTTGAAGAGGTATGAACAGGGCCATTCAGCTCAATAAGGGCTCAGGACCTCTGTGCATCCACAGCCATAAATTGTAAATATAAGTTATATTTAAGCTCACTTTAAGGCTTGTTTATTCTGTGGGAGCGGTTTAAAGGGTCCTTAGTGTAAGTGAGAATCAGGCCCAGAGAGTTCTTGGTGCTCCAGGGTACATTGTAGGGGGCACTTACTAAACAAAGGATGGCATTCACGTAAAAGTCTAGGTAGTGTGCAGCATTTTTATGTAATAGGATATAATGGCTATGTTCCTGTACCTTAAATATATACGTTGCTCCTCCCCCTCCACCACCTCCTCCTGCCCATTCATGGACACTCCTGTTCACTCGAATCTCCTCTTCAATCACGTTATTCTCTCCAATGCATACTTTCTGTATAACATGGTTAGTCTGCAGATAGAACAGCAAGTCTGAGTTCAGACAAGGAGCTTCCATTTTGCTGCACACACAAAGTAAGTTCATCAGCTAATCATAGAATATCAGGGTTGGAAGGGACCTCAGGAGGGCATCTAGTCCGGCCTCATATGCCTCCCTCCCCTGCATTTGCAAACCAATGGTCTAAATGTGCTTCCACCAAAACCAAAGGGAATTTTGCCTCTGCCTCCAAAGGGAGGAGAAGCAGGCTCACACTCTCCTACAAGAGTGTCACCTTTTGCTCTGCTACTGGCCAGAGGAATTTCTGGCTTTTTAAAACTGAATCCTTTAAAAATGAATCCAGTGCTGACACAGGCACTGATCTTCCAAAATGCTGGGGGGGTGCTCGACCCCCGGCTCTGACCCAGGCCCTGCCCCCACTCCACCCCTTCTCTCAAGGCCCCACCCCTTCCCGCCCAGTTCCACCCCCTCCCCCAAACATGCCACGTCCTCACTCCTCCTGCACACCGCGAAACAGCTGTTTGCGGCAGGTGGGAGGCGCGGGGAGTGAGGGAAAGGCGCTGATCTTCAGGGCCCACCAGCGGGTGGGAGGTGCTGGGGGGGGAGGGTGGTGCTGCTAGGGGGGCTGCCGGTGGGTGCTCAGCACCCACCCTTTTTTCCCTGTGGGTGCTCTAGCCCCGGAGCTCCCACGGAGTCGGCGCCTATGAGTGCTGATCAAAAGAGGCAAATAGACATCCCTAGAAACTGATGTCCTATATTTATCCACAGGAGAGGTATGGCATAACCTAAGGGTGACTCTACTCTACGTGCTAGGGGGTATGATTCCTCTACTCGTGCGCACATACTCAGGGACGCTGGAACAATATGTACAGTGGGGGTGCTAAGAGCCATTGAACCAAACTGTAAACCCTGTATACGATGGAAGCCACTTCAAGCCACAGCACCCCTACTTCCAGCAGTGATGCACATACTCATGCTAGCTCTCACCGAGCTAGCGTAAGTATAAATAGCCGTGTAGCTGTGCTACCATGGGTAGCGGCAGCAGAGGCGAGGCTGAGCTGTGCAGAGTACAAACCTGACAGAAACCGGTGGGTATATTCGGCACAGCTCAGTCACCCTTCCACTGCTGCTGCTGCCACAGCCACACAATTTATACTCATGCTAGCTCAGTATGCGTACACAAGGAGGGGAATCACCCCCCTAGTGTGCATCATAGTGCAGATGTAGCCAGTGCAAACCCCTCCCACTTCCTCCTACCCGTAACAACAATAACCTGGTTTTCACCTACCACTTTTTACCCATAGATTTCCATGGGCTTTACAAAGGCAGGTAAGTATTGTTACTATCTACATTTTACAAATGGGGAAACCGAGGCACTTGGCAATGACATGACTTGCTCCAAGTGACACAGCAAGTCAGTGGTAGCCAGGAATAGAACCCCGGTCTCCTGACTCCCAGTCCAGTGCCCTAGGCACTGAGCCCTACTGCCAACCTGTTTCAGTCCTGACTTTGAGGGACCAGCTAAGGATAAAGCTTCACTACCAATCAGTGCCATACGCCAAGACAGTTTTTGTGGTGGACACTAGTTCACTAGGCAATCAGCTGAGTCCACACCAACTCATTTCAAATAGACCAACAGAGAACTACAATTACCATCCCTAACCCAGGAGAAAGAACAGTCATTTGGTGACTAATTATGTTCACGTGGTTCACACCTGTTTTCTCCCTAAAGTCAATCAGAGCGTGTGTGTGTGTGTGTGTGTGTGTGTGTGTGTGTGTGTGTGTGTGTG